TTTGGATAATCACATACATAAGACTTAATCTATCAGATAACTAATATATTCTATGATTGATATTGGCAAGTATTCAAATTTAAGGTTTCAAAAAATGTTATCTTTGTCCTACATTTATCACGGTAGGGAAAATTAGACAAGAAATAAAACGTATGACTTTCTGGCAACAATGGGGTTTGTTTTTTTTTTTTTTTTCAATACCAAGCTATAATACACATGACATCATAGATTTATCACATAACAGTTAGTTAAAAAATAAATATCTTTCTTGATATTTTGATTATTTTGATCAACAGCATTGATCCAAAAAAAAATATATATTTCTATTGTAAAAATGTAAAATGTCAAATATTCATTCATTTATAACCACAATTTGTTAAATACCGATAAAGGAAATTAATACGTATTTGAGCAATAAATTAAGACTAAAAAATATGAAGTGAGTTGGTTGATCATTATGGAATATCCGTTTCACAGATGACAGCGGATACGTTCCAATTGTCGTAACTACAATCCCGTCTCCTTTTCCCCGAATGTGACCTACCGAATTAGACTTATTACCGGGTTTGTACTAACATGAGCAACAAGACGGGTGCCACATGTGGAGCAGGATCTGCTTATCCTTCCGGAGCACCTGAGATCACCCCAGTTTTTGGTGGGGTTCGTGTTGTTCAGTCTTTAGTTTTCTATGTTGTGTTTTGTGTACTGTTGTTTGTCTGTTTGTCCCTTACTTTTTTTAACCATGGCGTTGTCAGTTTATTTTCTACTTATGGGTTTGAATGTCCCTTTGGTTTCTTTCGCCTTTCTTAGATATAGACGATGGAGAAGATAAAATAGTTTTTATTTTTGTCGATTTTTAGACAACTTCTGGGTGAGTATTTATGAGTTAAGAAGAACAATCAAACTTATACTACAAGCATTTATCTTGATTACAAAAAATTTGACCGAAACAAGTCCAAATTGGCTTTATAATATTAATGGTTATAGGATTGAGAAAATAATTTTTTATTGTGTAAACAAATTTTTTTTTTTTTAAATGAAAAAGAAAGACATGTTATTGTTACAACTTACAACGATGTTAACCAAAATAACTTCAAAATGGGCTATCCTAAAATAGTCTGAACAACCCTATGGAAGATGCTGCAATTTCCAGATAATATTTTGCTCTCTAACCCTATAGAAAATAGTGGGTTCGAAAATAGGTGAAAGTCCAAACATTTTTGCCAATTCTGAATAGTTTCTCCCAGGGCGAAAATTAATTTGACATTCTTTCATAGTGGGGTACAGAAAGTTTCTGAAACAGCCTTATATTCAGTGAATGAAGATGCAAACCAATTGTCGTCCGTATTGCCGCGACGATTCAAAGACGATCTAAAAGAAAAACGTTCGACGGACGACGAACCCCGAACATAGGCAATAGCTCACACTGAATTAGAACGTGCATACAATATTTATAATTGTAATGTAAATTTAAAATATAACGTACTAATGCATTTCACAAATTATGTGTGTAGTGTTATTTTAATGATATATAAACACAAAACCACTTACCTCTTTTGATAATCACAAAACACGATTTAATTCATTAGATAACAAAATGGTCAATATTCAATATCGGCAAGATTACAACTCTCAAGTTTTGAAAATTTGATATATATATTGTCATACAATTATCAATGTATAGTTGATTTTGAAAAAAATATAAATTTTACTTTCAGGAAACCATGTTGTTTTAAATCCTAAGCACTGATCCGCATAAATGAAATATACCTCTGTTGTTATAAAATTTTTAATATTTATTCAGGTATAACGACATTCTGTAAAATATCATATTTCTATTTTTGTAGTATATATTATGACGTCCACCGTTTTTAGAAAAACGGTGTTTTTTTCATGCTATATACATGTATCAAATCAATGAAAAAGTTTTCTGACACTGATATAATCAAAACCACAAAAAAAATTTGTTAGATATTATGTAACATGAAACAGTTTTATATATAATGAATACTGATATTTACAAAAATAGAAAATATTAACATTACATTACATTGCTCAGTGCTGTAGAATCTATCAACACACAGATTTCGGCATTGCACAAGCTCGCGCCTTTCTCAGACTGCTGTTGAAGTCTTTACATTCGATCTGTTGGAGGTTGTCGCTTGTAAAAACTTCTTGTTCTGGTTCTTCTAATTCAACATTGTCCTGGCAAAACCTTTTAAGCTTTTGATACTGACTTATTTAGCATCGATGTGTACTAACATTAGAGGATGTGTCGCATATCATCATAACCTTCAAATGATATTGACCTCAAGGACAAAAGACTTAATTGTTCTTGGACATTTTCGTGTTCATAACAGAACATCTTCATCCTTTGACATAGGTTTTTGATATTTAGCACATGAGTGCAGCAATTCTCGACAATGTGCTAGCACCAGGGACGATGATTGTGACCTTGATTTAAGAAATACAATGTATATTTTCAACACAAAAAAGATATACATTTGATTGAAATAGAAAGATATTGTCTATGAAACTAAGGGTTAGCCACTGGGCGTCATTCCCCGTCCATTAAATAACCAAACATATCTGTTTGAGTTGTAAAGTATGTTTTCTAAGTGGGAGGGGGTTATATCTACTATGTTAAATGTCAATTTTATAAACACATATATTCGCCAAAGTTTACACCAAATACATCCATTTCCCAAGTGCACCATATTCCATTTCTACTTGTAAGGTCTACTTTCTTCAATACATCGACAACTTGACACTCTCCCTTCTTTGTGCGTTGGATTAAACGTTCCACCCTGACGTGACTGTGTATGTATACATTCTGTACGGCTAGACCGACTTCCCGCTATAGCAATGATTTACTGCCGGACGGGAGAGGTCCAAAGGGTGGTCATATTTCTATACCTCAATCAATCTTTAAGGTCTGGATGAATGACATCTTTTGTATAACTGTTTAATGACTGTTTGTGTTTACATTTAGCAACTACATCAACTAAACATGTTTTACGTCGTCAATAAGCATTTTGACTCTTAAAACATTCCTTGTTTGATGTTGCCTACCAATGCCTTGTGGGGTTGGGTAGGTAGATTTTATTTTTATTTTTTGGCCAACAACATAAGTTACATGGTTTAGACAAGAAAACGACATTAGAAAAGGAAAAGATATTTTAAAAAAAATATTTGAAACGATTTGTGTCAAAACAAATTTCGGGTAGGCTGCTTTTAAGGTGGGTAGATAGGCAACATTAAACAGTTTAAATTTTAGTTATGACCTGGGATAGATGCTTTCAACATAGACAGCAAACTTTGAATTATATAGTGAGAGGACATTGTCTATATAGCGGAATTTGAAGTTAAAGGATAATGCTAGCTTCTTTTTATTCTTCCTAAGGAGCTCCTGTATAAAGTCAGTATCATATGAATAAAGAAACAAATCGACAAAAAGAATAGCACAGTGGGTTCCCACAGGAATGCCGATGGTTTTATAAAAAATACGTCCTCAATTAATACAAAAAAAAGTAAAATAACAAAAATACCGAACTCCAAAAAAATTTCAAAACGGAAAGTCCTTAATCAAATGGTAAAATCAAAAGCTCAAACACATCAAACGAATGGAAATCCTGATTTGTTTATGTAGAAAATGGTGAATTAAATCTGGATTTGTAGCTAGCTAAACCTCTCACTTGTATGACAGTCATATAGAATTCCATCATATTGACAACAATGTGTGAGCAAAACAAATAGACTTAATAGGTAGAAATGTCACAAATTGGGGTACAACAGTCAACATTGTTTTATAATCTTAATCATTATAAAAACAAATAACTATTTCAACAAAGAAAAACAAAATGGCATATAAACACTCTATAGACAAAGTACATTAGCAAAAATGAAAGACAAGAATACAAAAAATTACCATAGCACAATAACACAATGGCGGGACGTTTAAATACTTAGCCACACCAAAAGTATATTACCAAAAATAGACTAAACAGTTAAGGTTAAAAATATACAAAGACAAAAAAAAAGAACATTATAACACGTAATTTAGATGATAAACAACGTAAGTACCTAGAATCTATACATCAAGACCATCATGTATTATTTGTGAAGTTGAGCAACTTTCTGCTCAGACACTGGTGACGGTTTATAAAGTCTGAGTAGCAGCTGCAAGCTCTTGAATACCGAATGAGTTGGGAAATGTATATTCCATATGTAGGTGAAGTTGGTATATTGATGCTAAGGTGGGGGGAATTTATAATTTCAAAATTAAAATCACTTGTCCGACAATATGCAGGTCATGCTAAAACCAAATAGTGTATAATCTAGTTTTGTTTGATCCTCTGCAGAACATGTTTTGGTAATGATAGAATAAGTTTGAGGAACATTCAGGAAAACGCTTAATTTATGATCACCAGATCCACATCAAATCTAACAAAAACTGTCATAAAAGACAGGAACAATATAATATGTATAAACATTTAATCAACCGCTTGCCACATAGAAACAGTACATAATGATTTGTTTACTAGAATTCTTTGGGTCTCATACCTTAGTATGCTGTATTACTGCTAAATGTAAAAACACAAATCTTTGTTTTGAAATGTTTGTAAGACCTGTAAATTATACCATAGTTTTTTGTGATTTTGTTCATTTGTGGCCAGTAAGCGTATCTTATCTCTTCAACTGTACGACTTTCATAAAAAAACTCTTATAAATATTGAGCACTACATTTTTAGGCACGTGTATGATAATATATATTACACAAATGAGTACAGAAAACAATGAGCAATATTCCTTCGTTTTAATGTTAAAATTTTGTATATTTATGTTATATGTCACAATGTGGGACATTAAAAGATGCGTTTTGTTAAAAACAATTTCAATCTCACATTGTAAGATCCTTCTTCAAAATACATGCAGAACCATTCGCACTTTTAATAGTACTAAGTGGTGGCTTTCTTTTGTTCAACTATTCTTTTCCTATTGCAGGTGGTACAGTCCAGTAGCACTATAAATCCAATCACAGAGATTATAACAGTTCCACCAATTATTCCCATTATTTTGGATGATGTCCTTTTATCTGGGGCACTGGTCAGCGTTCTCCTGTATTCTGATTAAATATAAAATAGGTATTAATATATACTGTGTTGTCGTTTAAAGATATCTTCTCCAAAATCTTACACGAAAAAACTTCTTAATCTCATTACATGATAATAATCATTATTTTGGAAAAAAAACATCTAAACGCAACTTATACCGTCAAAATGGTAGTTAAACATGTTAAAATGAAAAAATCATAATATGCAACTTTATTGGTAAAAGTGACATTCGGACGGTTTTGCATGGTTTTCTGGCATATTGGCTCTTAAAGTATCTTACAATTTTTGAACGTATTTTACCTTTTCTATTTGTGTTGATTACTTAGAAGAATATTATCTTCTTTCTGTTAAAACTAATATTCTCACTCAAACCGGCTTAACTAACTAGTTAACGCAAATCTTAACAAGTTTCAGGAAGCTTTTATGTGTAGTTCCCTAGTAAAATTCGACGAAAATTTCATACATGGCAATTAAGTGTTAGAATATATAATAGTTGGTAAATAGTTATAAATTAGATCTGAAAGTGCATCGCATAGTATAGCATGCTCACATAAAACCTGATACCAAATTTTAGGTAGCTGTGATGTTTTGCACCTTAGAAAATGTGACTGAAATTTCATAGGACGGATGGACAGACAGGGATAAAACAGTGAGGAGTGGGGTATAACACAGTGGGATTTAACGAAACTAGAAACAAACAAAACATCACTATCAAAATAAACGGAGACCTTATTATATTAGTATAGCGTTAATCTTAAAGATCTTTCAAATATCTACTCAAACACCGAAAGATATAGTTTACTTTGTAAACCCAGTAGAATTAATCGTACCCAATTAAATTCGATCGTATCAGATTGTAATAATTTTCTTTAAAAAAACACATATTATTAGTTACTTTGTTATCATAATCTGTTCCCTCATTTAAACAGAAAAGAAGATCAAAAACGTAATTTTTTAGTACTGTAATATGTAAATAGAACTTAGCATTGTCAAAGACCGAGAAGTTATCTAGACTTTAAAACAAATAAAATACTAAACCAAATCATTGTGTTTGCACCTTGACGGAAATACTAATCCGAAATACTCAAAACTGAGATAAAAATATTCATACCTTAAACTTCCTCTAACAATAAAAAAATAAACCAAACTCATGAGAGCCACCAGTCTCAATAATTTTGAAGAGCTTGGAAAATTTTAAAAATCTAAAAATAGTGTGCCAAATAAGGCTAAGGCAATCTAAACCTTTGGGTAGAAAAACCTAAGTGTTTCGAATAATTCAACAGTTTATAAACAGTTCATTTACAGTAAAATGAACATATCAAAGATATTTCATGTAAATGCAATAGTGCTTACTATGGGTAGCACATACCGTCGGGGAAGAAACATCCACCAGCAGTGGCATCGACCCAGTGGTTGTAAAACTCATTCAAGATACCAGGCTTATAACGATACGATCGTAGATGAACACACTTTAACTTCGACTGGACTAAAAGTTGCTATTGAACACTACAGTGCTCCCCCGACTATGTATTTGCTTTTAAAATTATGAAAGAAGTCTTATAAATTTTGTTTTATATCCGCATCAAATATGTTTTCAACTTCAAATGATTGTTGCAAAGCTAAGTTCATATCAGGATGAACTATTTATAGGTTGTCAAGAACACTTTATAAATTTGGTTCGTCTGAAGTGATTTTCAGGATTAACCTTCATCAGGAACACACAAACCCAAAAATTAAAAAGTCAAAGATGTAAAAAAAGAACATACAGAATAGCCAAATTCATTCAAAGTCAACTTTGTCTAAGCGAGTTGTAACCTTTGTTTCTAATAATATTAAATCGATCAAAGGAGAATTTAAGATAGTTATGTTATAAATAAAGGCAATAGTAGTATACCGCTGTTCAATAGTCATAAATCGATTTAACTGAAACAAATTCGGGTCACAAACCAAAACTGAGGGAAACACATCAACTTTAAGAGGAAACAAAACGGAACAACAGAAATACTGAACTGCTGCAAAAACAAACCCCAACACACATAGAAACGGACTATGTGATAACAACTGCCATATTCCTGACTTGGTACAGGACATTTTAGGAAAAAATTGGTGGGTTGGACCTGGTTTTATGGCTAGCCAAATCTCCCGCTTATATGTTAAAAATACCGCTAAAATGACAGCATTATGTGACAGGAATACAGTACAAATAAATGCAAGACCATTCAGGGCAGACAAATACATAAATTAATAATATAATAGTACATTTCAACATGTAAACCATAGAATAACAACGAACATCTAAAATCAATTTACGACGGAACACAAATACAGCACAATAGAATAATTAACTGTGCGTCACACGAATGTAACAACGCCAAAACAAGTGACGTCACAGGTAAATTTCTACGAATAGTATATAAAATTTGGATTAAGTTTGTAATGGTGTTATTTGATGTGTTTTCTAACCATTACAAGGATATTAATATAGAATTGTGTTAGTAATGGTGTAATTATTTGTAATTTATAACCATGTCGGTTTTTCTTTTAAATCAAACTGTAAAAACAAAAAAATCCTGTGCATATAGTGGCTTTAAACAAAAAATCATATAAATGAACGAGGTGATTAATATCTTTACTTTTACATACATATAGAAAATAAAAATAGAATTAAAACCACAAACGATAAGACATAAAACAACACCCAACCAGAATTACAAATGAAACATCATAACTAAATACATGAATGTTGGATGTACAAATACGAAAACACGTCTAATTTCAATGCGAATTTACACTCAGCAAAACAGTCATATTCGGGAATAGGTCACGTTCGGTACTTAAAAGACCAGACGACGTAGATGGTAAACCACAATCTAAGACGTGGTAAAAATGTCGTTAGTTAGTTTAGACACAGACACATCGTATAGATCAACCAATTAAATCCTGTCTTTACCGATGCACTTACTACTCAGCTGTGATTGGAAATTTTTTATAACTAACAATCCTTTCAAGGATGGTTTACCTCTGTTGACAGTTATGATTTCTCTAACATGTATACTACATTACCACACAACTAATCAAAACGAAATGTTTCTATCAACTTAATTTTGTGTTATTTATATCGGTTGAATTTGCTTCAACTCCTGTTTCAGTAACAAACTTTCAAAAAATAAATCAATTGGACATGCCAGAAAAAGATTAAACACCTGCAGATATTTAGTTGATATATTATCTGTAATCAATTACAACTTTTCTATGTATATAACCGAAATTTATCCATCAAAAAACATTCGTACTAAATCAAACATTAAAAAAGACCGATGTCATTTTTAGACCTTGATTTTACCCGGGTAATATTTATACCAATATGTATGCTAAGCGGACTTTTCCTTTCTCATAGTTAATGTTCCTTTCCTTAGTTGTGTTGAGCCGTTGGTTCCTTTTTCTGGAGTGTTAATATTCCATTTAGTAAGATATGCATCAGGTCAAAGATTTCAAAGAAAGTGATATATTTAATACTAAGAATTTCGCAACAGATATAAACTTATCTTGCATAAGTCAAAACTTTTCCTTATACTGGTTTCGTTTAATCACTGCATCAGGTATATTTTGGGGTAAACACCAAATCGTTTCTCTATAGTTTAAAAAAAAAATTATATATATCTATTATTTTTTTCCGTGTAAGTGGTTTTGGACATTTCATAACATTCTTGCGGTAATGTTTATGACGTTGTTGTATGAGATCTTCTATGAAAAGCATCAACCGATTTAAAGTGTGTGACGGCATAAATTCATATTAGCCGGTTCAAAACTTTGAACTTGTTTTCAGTTACTTCGAGCATTCATTATTGCGGTATAATTGGTTGTTGCTTTATAGGTAATGTCTTTTCGCGTACTCGTTTCTATTGAATCTTCTTTTGTGAACATTTTTTATCAAATGATAATAAAGTGGAGTGGCGGGGATGTAAAAAAACAAATTCGACTCCAAAACATATTTCTGTGCATCTCCCATGACCGGAATCTCGTCCGTAGTTGTTTTATTCTTTTGGGTAATTTGGAGTTAATGATAGATCTTAGATTGTTTCTGTTCCATTTGTTCGCAACTCAGGACAATTTAGAGCTTAACATATTGTATCGACAGCTGTCTGTTGTTGAAGAACTAATGTTGCCATCTATATGTCTTTTTCGCTGATTTTTGTCGTTTGGTATTGCAATCTCATTTGCGTAGACACCACATCATCTTTTATTCATATAAATGCATGGGAATTTCATCTTTTTGTGTATTACTTTTTGATATAAAATTTTTCTAAAATACTGAATTCGCTACTGTTTTCAGTAATCTTCTGCAATGCTTTTCAATGGCTAATATCTACTGTTGTTCATAGAATATTCCGTACAAATATCTTACTTTGTGTCGATTTTCTATGTATTCTTATGTCAGTTATGATCTGGTCTAATTGATTTTGGGGATCTTCATTTCCCATTGTGGTCGTGGGCTGAACACATTTCATGGCAAATGGGCTTAAACACGCCGCTTTAAAGGAAACTGAAAAAGATGTCTAACAAATAAATTAAACATCCCAAATTTCTATATATTTGACTTGTTAAATCATTTATTTCATTTTATTCAGTCACTCAAGTCGCCAATAAAATATCCGTTTACATTGTAATTTTAAATTTAATCATTTTGACCATTTCTAAAACTTATATACCGTGGATATTATTCTCCCGGTTGCAAGTGCCTCTGTAATGGCATTATTTTAATGATATATTTTGCATACCAGGCGATGCCTTACACTGCTGAAGCACACATGTCTCGCTCGTTTTGGGATTCATACGATTTTTCAGTTTTTGTCCATTATTTAATATGTATCTTTTTGGTGTTTTTATGAAAACTTTAACGTTACGTGTCCGGTATGTGGATTAAGGCACATGGTTTTTCTACCCTTTGAATTTACAACGTAGTCAGCCAGAAAATACATGAATGGAGAACTTGCACAGTTGCAATCAGATGCCAATATTGAGATGCTAAAACACATAAGGCACAACCAACTCTTCAATTATATCATGTCAACTATTTGTCTCATCCAAATCATATCATACAAAATACAGCTTTACATTTTCAAAATGCAGTTTTTTATACCAAACAAATCAATTATTAAAAATGTTGACAATAACTTGTCATCTTTCAAAGGCAAAATATTATATATTGCATAAACTGAATATTTGCATATTCCCTTAATTTAAATAAAACACTTACATTTTACAAATATTGCCATACTATCCGCCAATATATGGTCCTTAGCTGAAAATAAAGAAAACATTTTAATTCTTTTTTAAGTTTAATTGCTGCTCTCAAATATATGCAAACCATAGCATAATTTAAAAGTCGAAATATACATATCTGGCTAGTATTTTAGATTTGAATATCGAAACGTTAATTTATGTAGCATTTATATATACTTTCATAGATAAAAACAAGTATGAAATAGCTCTAAATGTATAGAACGTTAAAAGTGTTTACGTATAAAAAAACAAAATGTATTGATTCCTCAGAAACTGTATTCATTAACAATATCACAGAAGGAGAAACAATTGCGATTTTACGAAATTTCGACCTCAGATTTTTGTTCAAAAATATAAGTTATTGCTGTGAAGATTTCCGTCTCGTTTAGATGGATTCGGACTTTGAATTTCTAAAAATTTAGATCTAAAGAGAAAAAAAAATTACACTGCTTTTTACGTACATTCTATACATTCATAATTTTTTTTATGAATTTTACTTAATCGTATATGTGGATGCATAAATGCTACAATAATCATGTTTTCGATTTTTCAGTTCAACTAGTTTCAAATTCATACGCAATGTCATACAATCCGAAATGCGCATTCTTTGTCTTAAATCCGCGTAAACAATATACTTCCCATGTGATCTTGTCTAAATAGTTTTTGCAACGACACACCCATTTCATCTAATTGCTCTCATCACATCACTCTTTAAATGTTGTAATGAACTTTTAGAAAGGGCAATCGTCTACTTTTCTGCTGTCACTATACTTGAAAAATATATTCCTTGCCATTCGGGCTGACATAGTCATCATTTCATTCTCATTAAATTATGTTTCTTTGTAAAATAAGATTTGTAAACGGGAATAACAGTTTCTTGGTCTACACCAAAAATAATCACTCTTCTTTAGTACAACTCCGATTCCAGTAAATAAACCATTGCCGTAGAAAATATCAAACGACGTTATTTGATAATTTTGTGGATTGGTATTTTAACAGACGTTCTATATTAAAAGAATTAACATACAATACCATCTTTCTAGTAAATGACATTTACTTATGTCGGATGATGCAATATGCCAGATTTTGATCTAATTATAGCAATTGAACTGCTCGAATTTTTTCCTAGCTTAAATAAGTATCCGGCAAAACTATGATGAAGAAGGACTAGTATAACTTTACAGGTCTTGTGTTCACCAATCTGAATAGATGAATCTTTACAGAATCTCAGTTTCTTAACTTACTACAGATATGATAACTATGTAATCGGCCCCACATGTCAACTACCGTTCAACTGACAAACTGGTTTGTCTTGTTCCAAGACGCTTGCAACTTGATATAATTGAATTATGACAGGTGATTCAAGCATAGCAGAAGGTAAAAATCCTTTTGCTGCAACTGGTTTCGTTATGTTATGGTATTAGAGAGCTGAAAACTTCGAAAAGTAGAGCAATTGTCCTATTCAAAACGATATAGTTGGATAAAGATATCGTTAAAGGTCATTAATTTTAACCATAAAAATGTCGTTTAAAGAAAAAAACAAAATCATGTTTTAAGATTCGAAATTAAATTATCAAAATTATCAAAATAATGTTTTCTATCATTTTGGAGGCTTCACACAATAATCAATTTCTGAACAAACTTTAATTTGGGAAATACTCAATGAATAAAGCTAAAAAAGTGACATCACCTTTAGAAATATTTGGAGGATTACTGAACAGAATGAATGGTATTTCGTTTGTACTTCTCTCATATTTGCAGTTGCCTATTTCATCTCCAACAAGTAACCAACCATAATCAGATTTGTGGCAAACACCTTCTTTCTCTTTTCTTATGTAAAAACGTCTACTAAATTTACCGTCGTCATCATAGTTATCAGCTGGTCCACTTACCCTGAAGGTGTAATGAAAGTTATGATAAATGTGAAAATTCATTGAAAACATCAAATCAACAAAATTTGTATATGTGATAAATCAGAACTCGATGATATGATACAAGTTTGGGAGCTAGCACTACGTTTGATAAACTTGATATCTAAAAACTAATCATGATGATTTCATCGATATTTTTACATGATATCCGTAACGAGGCCAATTGCTCCTCTGGTCATGTTAAAAAAATCTTGAATATCCAACCTCAAATGTCACGTAATACTATTGGGTTGTTCGCTAATTTCTTTCAGTCCCTTAACTTCAAAGACGGATAAACTATGTGTTTCAACTATGTCAGTTTATCAGACTGTTAATTAGATTGTGCGTCGGTCACACGTAAGTTTTTGCAAAATATATTGATCGAGATGAACACTGATTTTTAAATACACCCCCTTTTTCAAACAAAAAGCTCTATAAAATCTATCTTACAGACGATTTCTGTTTACAGAGTTTTGCCAAATGGCGAGGTTATCTAGGGCACATTAAAAATCTGTTTTTTTTTAAGTCTGATTTTTGTCGTACTGGTCGAGGACCAGTTACCGTCAGTTACCATTTACCGTAACCTGGCATTTTATGCAATTACGGACGCGTTTCGTAAAAACGGCATATTGTTATTATCTGCACACAATAAAACATTTCATTTTTTATTTCACTTCGTTTTGTTTGATCAGATTGAGACACAAAAACTGAGGTAGAAAATAAAAAAAATTAAAATTGGATTAAACTGCTCAGGACGAAAGATGAAATTCATGTTTCTGAGAATTTTACGACAATCTTCACGAGCTTGTACGCTACTGCAGAATATTTTATTAGAATATTACAATTAGTGTTCAATTCATACAAATACTGATTTTTTATTAGCTGAAAGTCAAATCACGTTAAACCGTCATATGTTTTCTATAAAACGACAAGCAAAGGCGTTAATTTTCACGTACATTTCTAACGTCACAATGCTTATATTTTACGGGGGCCTCGGTGGCCGAGTGGTCTAAGTAGTTACTACTGTAATCACTAGCCAGTCAACACTGAGGTTGTGAGTTCGAACCCCGCTCGTGAGGGCGCACTCGACTCCAATCGTAATTGACTAGGATTGTCAGTTTTCCTATCGAAGGTCGGTGGTTTTCTCCGGGCACTCCGGCTTCCTTCACTAATAAAAACTGGCCGCCACGAAATAGCCGAAAAGCGGTGCTTAAAAGTGGCGTAAAAAACACAAAAAATCAAATCAAATTATATTTTACGTCACAGTAACAGAAGATTGTTCAATGACGTCCTTGAAGCCAATTGACCTTGAGTGAAACGGAGTAACTAATTCATTAAAAAAACTTGAAATCTGTCTAGCATATGAAAACAACCCAAGAACTATAAGCTCCACCTATCTAATTAAACAACTGTTATATATTGCAAAGATGAATAGTTAATAGAAATATGTAACGATAAATTATCATCCTAATATTACGATATGTGCATGAATTATTGAAATGCGATAGATATTTTATGAGCTATCAATTTTTAAAACGCCATCTCCATTATGCAAATTTCAGCTGTATGACGGTGGATTTATACTGCTTGCATCTCGCAAGCCATTTTTTCCCGAAGTTGTGTGTTTAAATGTTTACTTTTAGCTAGATTCAAAATGTTGACAACATATTTATATTTCATTTCGAAGATCTGTAAATATAAAAATTAAATGCTTTTTTTTAGAGAAAAAATATACAAGATGAAAGCAGGTAATAATCACATGTTCGGCAAGAAGTGCTTCCGCTTTAGCGCATCATGCAAAATGTGAAGGTCACTCTAATTCATACAAATGCTGATCATTTATTACCTGAAAGGCGAATCATCAGATTATGTCTTTTTTGTTTGATCTGCTGCTGTTTATTTGGTATTTAAGTTTAAAATCACGTCCATTTTCTATCTTTTGCATTTGTATACGGTCATGCCTAAGGAATCGTATTACTTTACATGTTTTTAGACTTAATTATAGAGAACATATTCACCATACTAAATATGTTTGGTACAAAGTGAAGGCTTCAAGTATGTATTAATGCACGTGTGAAGCTATCACATTTTCTTTTTTAAGGACATAAAAAAAGAATTAAAAAAAAAACACAATTCATTTTTTTAGGAAACATTTACATTCATAATGATAATAATATACAGTGAAATAATATGTTATACATGTTATCTTTATAAACCAATAAATGACATTTAAATCAAGAGCTTAAAATTGTCTGTTTCAAAACCTAAATCCTTCTGAACAAAATTCTACTTTCAAAAGAGATGACAAAAAAACACTGAGATAGGTCAACAAATTAACCTTCTCATAGATATTCAACCAATGGGGTAACTTTGTTTCGATATTGATATACAAAGTATGGAATAACTGCTATTCCTAATTACACAAAGACACACCGAAATCTTACCCCTCCATAGAAAAGTAATATACATCTTTGTCGTCGTTTAGGTCAATGTAGCTACTATCAATGAGCCGATTCTTCTTAAACCAGTTTGATTTGGTTGTCTCACTTCCATTGAACAAAAGAAATGCCTTTTCCATACCGCTCACATACAACGACACTCTAACCTAAAACCAGATAAACAGTCAAAATATAAAACAACCACTTCGACTCACACTTTAACAGAACGTTTTTGCCGTGAACAATAGATTTTCATAGATATTATAAATGTTATATGTTATGGAAGTTTTAAATGTACCTGACAAGACCCAGATAAGAAATATTCCGCAATATCGAATTTTTAAGACCATTTATTGTTAAATTGTTTCAACGGGTCTAACGGTAACTGCGTTTAAATGCAATATTTGAAATTGTTTCTGTAAATATATTTGTAAGTTCTTTGCATTATTCATGTGTCATTGTGGCTCGTGTAATTAAAAGAGTTGATTAGTTCAGCACTTTTCTTTTTTCCATCGGAAGATTTGTCACGGTAAATAGTTTCCAGACAGGGTATTTCACAGGGTAGATTTCAGCCGGAGGAGTAAAACTATTTCCATCTTATATGGAAAGTAATTAACAGTAAATCCTTTCAGGTTAAAATTTCACATAAGCTAATGAAATACAATCCTACTCTTTACTATATAAAATACTCACACTCTATATGTACCTCGCCATAATGATAAATGTGTCATCATATTTGCATAAATTACCAATCAAAGGAAGGTAATTATGAGAGATTTTCATTTGATGGATACTATATTCCGGAATAAATTTCATGGTGATATTGTTTCCTTTTTCATTATTTATTAAATATAAAAAAGATTCTTGGGAATTTATATAGTTAAATATATTATCATACTCTGATTCCTCCATTACTGTCGTGATTTTACTATATTTCTACCTTGACCTTTTTACTTGTACTCACATCTGAAAACAACGCACTTGTACCTGTATTTCACTTGCATTAATTTCTCATTGATCTGAATAGTATTTCACAATTAAGATTTGTGAAATTATTTCTGGTTTTGTGACATATTTTTCATGATTATTGTTTTCCTTTTTTATGTTGTGATGATAAAATAGAAACGTTTGGAAGATTTTTTACTGTTAAATTATTTCCGAATATTTTTTTGCAATTAACATCTGTGAAATTATTTCCGATTACAATACAATTGTTTTGTTTTGTTATCACTACTTTAGCCTTTATTTGATAACTTCATTATGAGTTCATAGCATTTGCGAAGATTAAGTTTTGTATTTACTTTTCTATAATTTAAATTTTAAATATGACTACATTGGCTCGAAACAACAATTCTACACCTTCTACGTGTAAAACTTTTCCGGTATAAATTTCATGTCGATGGAAAATATCTCGCAGTGACATAATTTCCTCCGGATGTTATATCATCCGGAAAGAATTATGCTTTACTCATTCATTCCAGGTAGAAAATGCTTTAGCTAATTCCGATGCGTATGACAAAACATTTAAAACAGCCATCATGATACCGATATTGAATTTCACCACAATAATTCATAATTAAAAAAAAAGTAACAGCATAACTAGAAACGTCAGATACATGAAGATTAATTAGTGTAAGTTGTCTCAAACATTGTAGGTTGTTTAAGTCACCATAAATAAATGGAGGCAAACATATATCAAAACACCTGATCTATTCCTATTGTGGACCACTTATTTACTATACTCGACTTGAAATGCTTCTTTGCATGGTTTTCCGAACATGACATGGCTTCAAAGTCATTCTCATTCAATGGATTGTCAGACATGAACAAGCCGTAAGCCTTCTCATTTCCTGAAGAGAAAAAAGAAACATCTTTTTAATCAGGACAGGAACATCACATTCTTAATGTTTCTAAAATTACACGCATGAATAATTGTTACAGGCAAAACTTCATAAAACCCAAAAAATATTTTTGTTTTTAGCTTATCTCCAGAAGATTTTATGAAACATGTGTCATGCGCACTGAAATCATTATCATACATTGATATTAAAACTAGTCTACCGGGTTGATACCGATGAAAAAATACAGTTGTTCACTAGGGTACCAATTGTCAAAAAGTTTGTGCTGCATGAGTACCGGTATAAATTAAATATTGCATTTTGATTGAAAATTTTATTTTAAGTTTAATTATTTTATTTCAGCTACAGTGGCAACTTCTGCAAAATTATTGTTTAACGCAACTTTCAGCGCACTCTATGCTATATCGGTGCGATCAGTTTTTATTGATGGAGGAAGCCGGAGTGTCCGGAGAGATATTCGAACCACCGACCATCAGCAGGAAAGCTGACAATCCTATTCAATTAAGGTCGGAGTCGAACGCAGGAAAGCTGATAATCCTGGCCAATCAGGGTCGACGTCGAAAGCACCTGACACGTGCGGTGTTCGAACTAACAACCTCCGTTTTGACAGGGTTTTTGAACTATTTAGATCACTCGGCCGGTAAATTACGTTTGCTACACCGATTCAACAGATCAGCATTGAAAACATTTAGGTGGCACATCACCAATTTAAGGTTTATGTGGACCTTATGGTTAAAATGGCTGTGTTTAAACCATTAAATTTACACAGAGTGCAGACAAACCTGTGCATTTTGAAACAAATTAAGGCATAGCATGCCCTAGATATTTAATATTCAAATGCATTTTATGTTTCAGAAAGTTAAAAACTTAACTGAATTTTGCTGTGCATTTTTCTTAGTCCTTTAGAAGATGATTAAGTAAGTAGTTGACTTATCCATAAATAGAAAAACCGCAATAAGAGAAATAACACTGTACATTATACTACAATATTAAGAAAACGTACCAATAGAAGAAACGGTGTGATTTTAATTGATTTGGAAGGGTAATCAGCTCCTACTTTACATGCACATGTCGTTTTGCCCTTGGTTGTCGCATTCAATGATATCTAAATTGAGAAAAGGAGGGCGACAATTGAAACTTAATCCGTGGTCTCTTGTGATACAGATATTCCATAAAGTTCAACCAAAACATGATAGTGTCCGTATATCTTTTGAAAGGATGACTTTCGCATTACCACAAGCAACCCTTGGTTCAATAGCTTACGTGTTAGCAGCAAACATCTATCAAGGAATGGCCTCAGTGGGCGCGTGGTCTTATTAATTTAACTATTGAATCACTAGCCTGTCAGCACTGAGCACGGGGTTGTGAGTTCGTGCCTTGCACGTGACAGGTGTGTTCGATCCCAATCTCAATTGATTAAGATGTCAGTTTGGCTGCCGAAGGTTTGTGGTTCTCTCCGGGTACTCTGGCTCCCTCCACCAAAAAAAAATGGCCGCCACGAAATAGCTTACAGTGCTGAAATGGCGTTAACCCCAATCAATCAATTAATCAATTAATCATAATCGTAAACGCAAGCAAGATATAAGGTAGATTGTACATGCGGTATCCTTTATTTCAAGTGCGATGGGCTATAGCTAGTTGTTAGATCTTTTTCATGTCTAAGCTTTTTACAGCCAACTGACTACACGGTATGGGCCTTTTCTCATTGTTGAATGCCGTACGGTTGCCTATAATTGCTTACATACACTTCATTTGAACTTTGGTTGATAGCTGTCTCATTAGCAATCATACCACATCTCCTTTTTTTATAGAGACGAGTTAAACATAGTCACCAAACTTTAATTATTTAGTGAGAGCACATTATTTATAAAGCTATTAATCGTGAAAATACATGAAAATGCTAGCTTCTTTTCACTCTTCCTTAGAAATCTATCTCAATAGGAGAAAGTCTTGTTTGAACCAAAGGGGTTTCCTACAAAATATGATTTACCCATTTCTAAAACAAGGTATCTACGTTGGCCATTCTTCTATATATGAAAAAAGTTTGACTGTCTTTTTTTAAAAATTGAGAATTATGAAAAATAGTGCAAAAGGTAGAGAAGGGTGCACTGTTGCACAAAGAAAGAGACTTAGATTAGTTTTATCATATCTTATTTGCTTAAATATGCAAAAGTGATGAGACACAAGTTAATCAAACTTATAAAGTCTTCTCCCAAGAGAGACTTAGATTGTATGTTCTGTTAAAGATCTATGGAATTTTTTAGTATCCACATATAGTTCAAACCGCCATTAAAGTAGGTGTCATTAAAGTATGTGTCAGGTGTCAGGTGTCAGGTTTCAACGTGATTAATTATGGTAATCACTTCTATACATCCATGACAAATATTTTGTTGTCATCGTAGACTAAGTTCCAAAACAACAACAGTTGTAAAAATAAATTTTTTGTAAATCAAATTACATACATATAAAAATATGAATTATCAGGAGAAAGGACCTTCATCGTGGGATTTTGTACAAATAAGACCCTATGAATTAAGGCAATGATAGCTTACCGATGCTCAAATCTGATAAATCAATTCAGAAAATACTTATCAAGGTAATAAAAACTCAGAGAATCGCAAACTACTGTAAAACATCAATTTGAAAAAAAGAGAAGAAATTTAGTTTTTGATCAAAACAAACAATCTGTAAAGATTTGGGCAAAAAATATGTAAAATTAAACGTGAGATATTCTGAGACGTGCTGGAAAAGACGGACAATGTTATTTTAGAATGTGTCCACCATTTAGCAATGATTTGAATACATATATTTAGTGTTGTTGTACTAAAAGGGATTGTCCAATTACGTATTCATAGTAATTATATAAAAGAATTACCTCCAGTTGCTATTTTGTAGACAAGAGTCCAATATCCCTCGTCACCACGAGACATCCTAATATACTGGAAAATAGCTGTATACATCAGAAAAGCTGTAATTTATAAGAAAGTGCATATATGAATGTATTTACAAAGGCAAAATGTTAAATACAATTTATATAATTATACAGGTTTTTTTTTATCTTTGGCAATCCCTCAGCAGACATATGTTACAATAAGCCCTTCTTGATATATATCGAAGCGTGGTCACAAGATGCAAGGGATCTTTATTTTCCTTCCAATATAAGTAGCAATTTTTCGTTTGATCAATTTAGTAGATATTGCAACATTATATTATATCTTATAAGGGTTTCTTTGGATTTTAATATAACAAGATGATGTCTGTCTGATCTTTTTTGGTCGTTTATGATTAATTTATATTCAGGAAGGAAGACAATCACAATTAAAAACCAATTGTTCTCAGAGAACAATTGAAGGTCTTTCCACATCAATTTTCAAAGTTATTGAAAAGAAACTAGTTCCGGTTTACTCAAAGTTAAAATTGGCATCAAATCATAAGTTTCTACATACTGATGCGATAAATAAATGGTTTCTATATACTTTTGAGTGAAATAAGGGAGATAACTAGCTACTTCTGGTGGAGTTAATGTCACTTCCGATCTCATATGATAGCTTCTTTCACACTGATTCCAGAAATATATAGTTTCTATATACTTTTGCATGTCAAACAGGAGATAATTGGCCACTTCCGGTTTATCGAAAGTCACTTCTGGTCTTTAGTGATAAGTTTATGTATTTATATTACAAAATATATGGATTCCGAGTACTTTTCCATGAAAAAAGTGCAAAAATGGATACTTCCGGTTTTCTCAAGGTCACTTCCGGTTGACATTTTTCAAGGTCATATGTCACCCAACATTTTGTAAAAGGTCATATGGCTTTATAATAAACCAAGTTGAAGTAATAACCAATTAACCTTATATTAAGACATTTCAGGGGCACTAACTCCTATAAGATATCATTAGATTGTTTTAGACCAAATGTAACATATCTTCATAACAATAAAGCAAACATTTTGCACTTGTTCTCTTATATATATCTGTAAAAGTGTCGAAGAAAATGCAAAAACAAGGAAAAGTCAAAATTGAGAACTTGACCTTGATCTTTGACCTTGACCTCATTTTCTAAGTTAGGACATAGGGGCCTCAAATAAAAAGATTCCAGGGTCATATGGTTAATGGTTTATGAGTTACAAAAACATACTGACAAATTTGGTAAAGGTAGATAACTCCTATAAAATTTCAATCGCTTCGATCCAAATTAGCCAAACAATCCTGAGGATGTAACGAACAATTTAGAATTTTGTCGATATCTTTTTTTGTTACGAAGGAGATGCACACACAAGATAAACAGTGAATGGGGAGATAACTCTTACAGAGTAAACTGTTCGCCTAAAAGGGGTTCAATTTAAAAGCGCATAAAAGAGGGACGAAAGATACCAGAGGGACAGTCAAACTCATAGATCGAAAACAAACTGACAACGCCATGGCCAAAAATAAAAAAAACAAACAGACAAATAATAGTACAGATGACACAACATAGAAAACTAAAGACTAAGCAACACGAACCCCACCAAAAACTGGGAGTGATCTCAGGTGCTCCGGAAGAGTAAGCAGATCCTGCTCCACATGTGGCACCCGTCGTGTTGCTTATGTTATTACAAATCCGGTAAATAGTCTAATTCGGTGAGTCACATTCGTGAAAAGGGAAGGGTATTGTAGTTACGACATAAGGAACATATCCGATATCATATGTGAAACGGTTATTCCATAACGGTCAACCGACTCGTGATGGCGTCCGTAAAATTTACGAAGGGATGATTTCAACTTCACCATTTGGAACTCTTGGTTTAATAGCTTCCTTGTGAGCAGCAATCCTCTATCAAGGAAATCATGATAGGAAACACAAGCCCGGGAATATCGTTTCAATTGGGAGATATATACTCCGTATGCAGGCGCTGCTGGAATGTTGCTACATAGAAATGGAAAGTTCACTATTGGGAAGCTGAACCCATCTGTTTTGTCGTAAAGTTTTATTTTCAACCGACCCTCATTGTCAATTTCTAGATGTAAGTCAAGATATGAGGCATACTTAACTGTATCTGTAGTATCCTTTATCTCTAGTTCGATGGGATAGATTCGTTCAACATAGTCACCAAATTTTGTATTATTTAGTGAGAGAACATCATATATACTGTACGATGATATATATAAAATATCTAAGCGACATATTGCGAAACAAAAATTTGACGCAAGATCAAACTTTGGCGGAAGAAAAAAAAAAAATAAATATAAATCAATTGTTTAATTTACTGATTGATTTTTATTGATTGATTGATTGGTTGGTTGGTTTGTTGGTTGGTTATTTAATTGACTGATTGACTGACTAATTAAACACGTGAGATAGGGTCTCTTGATACAAGCGAACAAGAAACAAATGAGCTCTTGGACCCCGTATTAAACACATAGGATCGACACAAGCATGCAATGATTGATTGATTGGTTGGCTGGTTGGTTAAACACATGAGATCTAGCCTCTAGGAACACGTGAAAAAGAAATTGAGAGCCTAATTCCCGTGATTAATCACTTGAGACCTAGCCTCTAGGAACACGTGAAAAAGGAATTGATAGCGTAGGTCCCGTGTTTAAACACTTGGGACCTAGCCTCAAGGAACACGCAAAAAAGGAATTGATAGCGTAGTTTCCGTGTTTAAACACGTGAGACCTAGCCTCTAGGAACACGTGAAAAAGGAATTGATAGCATAGTTTCCGTGTATAAACACGTGAGACCTAGCCTCTAGGAACACGTGAAAAAGAAATTGAGAGCCTAGTTTCCGTGTTTAATCACTTGGGACCTAGCCTCTAGGAACACTTAAAAAAGAATTGAGAGCGTAGCTCCCGTGTTTAAACACGTGAGACCTAGCCTCTAGGAACACGTGAAAAAGAAATTGAGAGCCTAGTTCCCGTGTTTGAACACTTGAGACATAGCCTGTAGGAACACGCGAAAACGGGTCCGTGCTACATATTTATTTATATTCAAATTATGACATTTGTAGGAACATGCAAGGATTTAAATATACCTGCAAAAAATATCCTTGCATATTCCTTTATTAATGTTCTTTTTTTTTCATAAGGCTTCCCGGAATTTGTGTCTTATTTATTTATTGTGTGTACATTGTATGCAATTTTGTATTTAAAGGAAATCGGACCTGACCTGCATGGACGTTTTGTTTTTAATCTACGTGCACATTTTAATTCTTTTCGAAAGGGGAAAACCATATTTTATTTTAGGTAGCACGCGCCGCTCTGGATGGTGTGATTGTGACGTCACCAAGCTGATCTATATACACAAAAAGACTGATTTTTAAAATGTCTTTGCAGAAGAGACGTCGTCCAGACCAGACCTGTGTATAAAAATTGTGCTAACTGATTTAATTTTCTTTCATTTACAGGTCATTGATGTCGGATCATGCATGCTTTTATCGTACACATATTTACAGGAGCACAGAATTGTATTTTAATGCATGTTTAGAATTTCACTAATATTTACGAACTTTGGAGAGATTTCAACGTCATTGATTTTAATTTATCAATCCAGATCAGAACGTCAAGCGAACTGCACGTGATTTATAGATATTTTCTTGGTCCATTTTACAGGTAAACTATTGTCCAATCGCTGACCACTAGTCTTCATTCATTACATGCACACAAAAATAATGCTGGTGTTATAGTACTTTAACAAAACTTTTATCGATTCATTTCAGAAAATACATGAATAGGAGCAGATTTTTGCAGGAATGGATTTCTATTTCAGAAAGAAGTTTGTACATAAGAAGGATTAGCATTTTTACAGTCAAATAGAAATGGGATTCCTCAAACAAAAAAACAATATAAAAAAGGGAGGGGGGGAGGGGTGGTGTTGGACCTTGGTTGATCAATACAGATAAATTTCATGAATGCATCATGATAGCTGTAGAGTTTGAAGCTATAATTTGTTAATTTGTTAATTTGTTCATTTTTTCCATTTCAGTGGCATGGAACCCGCCCTCCCCCCCCCCCCCCCCCCCAAAAAAAAATGGCGCGTCCCATTTCGACAAAAACTCTCCAGTTATAAACTTGAACACTTTCTGAGTAGAAGCAGTATGAATTGAATGTCAAAATTTAGAATATGACCTTGACCTTTGACCTTGACCTCATTTTCTTAGTTGGGTACCAATGACCTCAAATAACAGGACTCTAGGTTTATACGGCTTACGGTGTATGAGTTGCAAATGCATATCATTTATATCAAATGCATAAGGGGAAATAACTCTCATATGGAGACTCCGGAGCGCTTTGGTGAAAACCAAACTCAACATCCTGAAGATATAGCGAGCAATTTGGTAAAATAAATTTGTCGTTATCTTTTACGGTTGCGAAGAAGTAGCAAACACAAGAAAAACAGTGTTCGGGGAGATAACTCTTACAAAGAAAAGTATTCGGTTAAGCAGGGTCAGATTTGAAAGCTCATAAACTGTTCGATATCATATACCAAATATCAAATCGACATCTTGCGAAATAACCAAACAGCGAAAGAAAAGAAAATTAGGCGGAAGAAAAAAAAATAATTATCAGAACAAAATCAATAGGTCTTTCCACGGAAAAGTGGAAGACCTAATAATAATCAGAACAAATACATTAGGTCTTTCCACAGAAAAGTGGAAAGACCTAATAATTAGAATAGTATTTTACCCTTGTCCTGACATATATAGCTAGTTTGGATTTTTTTCATTGAAAGGGCGAGTATATTGTCTGATATAGGACAGAATATCAGAATATATTCTTGGGTCTGTTTATCGAAGGTGTCTAGGGCTTGGAAAAGTCTTGTCATTATCAAACGAATCAAATCTTAGGAAATATTATAGGAATTTCCTAAGTTTAGGACAACCGTTTTAATGTGTCATAGGATGTTGTAAGACGAGTTTCTGATAATTATAATGTTAAGGAAAATATCAAATCAATGCATTCATATATACTAAACTAAGTCCAATATATACTTGTTTTACATTTATTTTGAATCCTTAACATATAATTCATACAAAAAATATCATTCGGAGATTGTTGATCGAAAACTTTGGCTACCCTTTTTTTGGGGTTTTGTTGCCGAAGTTGTCCATTTCGTTACCTTGATAAGCAATGAACACAGAAACATGGAGCACGTGAAGATGATAGAGCGATATTTATTAAAGATAGGTACATTTGTAATTAATCGGTTTAGATATTTTAGATTTGGTGTATTCTAAAATATCTAAACCGATTAATTACAAATGTACCACTCTTTAATAAGTTTCTGCACGTGAAATAGTACCTACCTAGTAATGCACCTTGATCGTGATGTTTAAAATGACTATCTATCAATTTATTATTTCTGTACCAATGTTCTAAAATACTTTTGAAATATTACGCTTCCGCCAACCATTTTGTACTTTTGATTTATTTGATGGATGTCATTTATTTCAATAAAAGAAAATATTTATAGTTGTAAATATCTTTCTGCTGCAATTCATATTATGGAATAGTTACTCATTTTGTATTTTCTTTAACTTAAAAATTACCAGGGCTTATTTAAAGTAATGACCTAGTTAGTCTTTCATATTTTTGAAAATATCTGTCTAATTGCAAATAATTTTTGCAAATTTTACTTTTATGCGACCATTTGACCGATTAAATTTTTTTTATCAATAGTCTGATGCTTAATTTGCCTAGTTTCGCACCGACATTAGAAAAACATACTAGTAAAAGGAAATTTGCCATCAAGATTCAACTGTTTTAATTTCTGTAATATGTCATAAAGCAGTGTTGCTTAAAAATTAAAAGTTGAAAAAAATTGTTCGTGTAGTTCTAATTTTTTTTTTAGCCTCAATAAACCAACCAAAGCAATTAGCTACAACAGACATAAAGCTAGATGTCACATTGGTACATCTTTACATTGTTTGTTAAAAAAAAGTGTGTCTTTAGTATAATCTCTAAGTGAAACAATAAGATAAGCGATTTTTTTAATAGAAATAAAGTTCTCACCTGTATGTAGAAGCTGCATTTTCAAAAAACATAATTATAGTAACTTGCTACGAAGTAATGCTTTTTAGATACCTGTGAAACTATTTTCCGAGATTAAATAATTAATGAAGCATCATTCCATTGTATCGCTGAATTTTTCAAAAAATTCCTTCATCTAATGTTTCTACGCTCAACATCTGTCATTGTTCTGAAATGCCCTGTAAAATGATATTACAATTACGATGACTTTGGATTAACGTTCATTTCCAGTTTCGTTTTATAACAATGACAATTGTTCAGTTCTTTGGCTACATTACACACATTTTTCAGCTAAAAACCTTATTGCTTGTCTCTTGGTACCATGTTCGCACGAGTGTGAAAATGGGTGTTTGCTGCTTCCCAGCAGGCACGCAGCATTATTGATTTATCCGCGGATGCTGACATCATGAAAACATGTTTCTGTGGATTGATACATAGTGAACAACCATGTCTAAATTCTTGGTTCGTTTGTCGGTCTAGAACAAACCAAGGTTCACATTAATATCACATTATCATGTTTTCGTCTTGATATACATGTTTAGTTTGTAACTGTACGTTTACCAACAATACCAACGTATGTCAGTAATAGAGTCGAGTGACGTAACCAGATGCAACCAGATGTTGTATTAAATAATGGAACCTAGTACTCTTACTGTCTACACAGGCAATTTTTTCCAACGTGATTTTAACATGGGAATCACGTGAAATTCACGTTGTCCACACCACGTGAGTACAACGTGAAACGAGCAGAAACGTAATATTCACGTTGTGAGCACAACGTGAAATAAACGTTCGTCACACGTGATATTCACGTTGTATATAAATCCACATGATATCAACGTGATAATACAACGTGATATTCACGTTAAATATAAAGCCACGTGATATAAACGTGATAATACAACAAGACTTTTATGTGAAGCAGCCACTAGGAAAAATGAAATATTGTCTTTGTAACAATGCACTCATTGACATATCATTTTTTGTTCTTGGTCATCTCTATTTGAAGATGTTTCTCTGGTTCTTTATGGTAAAAGTACTGTAAAAGTGAGTTATACATCAATAAATTGTCTTATATTGATTATCAGTTACCTCATATGCATGTTTTATTAACCTGTTATCATCCTGAATATGTATGTAATATTTGTGGCTGGATGTTTAGCATCCATTAAAACTTATATATATATATATAAATCCAAATCTTATTTAAACCATGAGACTATTTCTACATGTTTGAAACCTTTCGAATCTTCCTGTTAGTATTTCTTTTTTTGTTTGTTTGAAATTCTTGCTTTATAATTGCGTTTGTTTGACAATTCATAAAAAATCTAAAAGTACGAATACCAATGTCAAAGTCAGCTACATTTTAAATTTATACAATGTTTGAAAAGAAGTCGAATTCGAAATTGCAAAAAAAATAATGCAAAACCAAATGTATACCAAACAACAATTCAATACAGACTAGCTATTTAACAATGTTCATTCTACAAGAGTTGTGTCCCTTGCAGGTTTACCATGACAAATCTAAAAATTATCAGCTTATGATTAAAAAATTGTGCCTAACAGAGGCATATGTTACCAAATGTTAAAAAAAACAAAACACTTTCCACATTAAATTCAATTATATTTATATTTAAGAATATTCTAAACAGTTAACATTTGAAAAGTTACTGAAATAGTAACAAATAATATTTGATTGTTCCGTCTTCTAAATGCTCCACTCTTTTGAAAGTTTCTTCATCTGAAAGGATAAAAAAAAGAATTTTATTTACTGTTATAATATTATCTTATTTAAGCATACATAATGAAAGCTTTATTTTACTTCTAATATGAGTGTTGCTTTTGCTTTGTAAACAACAATGTGATAAAATTCTCAATATATCTATAGTTTACAACCCTAGTAAACATTATTATTATATACATATGCACTTTCATGGATCTACAATCTGTCATTTCCTGTGTCTTGGCATTGCACCAGGTCATGTTTTTCTCTGATTGTTTATGATGTCTTTACACTAAATCCATTGGATGTTGGATGTGTACTGGTTGATAATTTATTCTTAGATGCATTTTTTTTTTAAGTTGTTATTGGCTATGAACTAGCTGTCAGTATCTGCACTCTCAGATTGTACTAAGTGTCTTTTTGTTGTTGGGATGTACAAGTACCCATCCACGTCCACTCTGTGTTTTTGTTGTATGTATTTCTATTTGTATCCATCTGTTGAGTTCAGCCTTTTTCAACTGATTTTTTTAGTTCGTTCTAATGTTGTGCTGTTACACCGCTGTCCCAGATTAGGGGAGGGCTGAGATCCCCCCAACATGTTTAACCCTGCCACATTCTGTATGTATGTGCCTGTCCCAAGTCAGGAGCCTGTAGTTAAGTGGTTGTTTGTTGTTACATATTTGTTTTTTTCGTTAATTTTTTTGTACATTAATCAGGCCGTTAGTTTTCTCGTTTGAATTGTTTTACGTTTGTGATTTATAGCTGACTATGCAGTATGGGCTTTGGTCATTGTTGAAGGCCGTACAGTGACCTATAGCTCTTAATTTCTGTGGCATTTGGTTTCTTGTGGAGGGTTGTCTCATTGGCAATCATACCACATCTTTTTTATATGTATCATAACTAATGTGGTGATTTGCCTGTGTAAAATTGAAATGAAAACTAGACAAAGTGACTCCACTCTGAAGTAACTGTATTATAACAAAGTCAATGTAGGACTTTCTTTGAGATATTATTGTGTCTGGGAGACACAATTGATGCCCCCGCAGATGCAAAGTGTTATTTTAAAATAACTATAACATTTAAACGCTCCTCTTATGAAAGTAAATACTCCAAAAATTGACAAAGTTCAACTATCTCCCAAAAGAGCAAATATTAATAAAAATCAAAACCCTGACCACATGCACACCTTCAATATATGTACAAACAGACAGCAAAGTGAAAACTTCCTAGGATTCAAACTGTAGGAGGAGTTATGCGGATTAACTATATACCCATAATGGGACGGACGGACGGACAGACAGGGGTAAAACAATATGCCCCCCAACTTTCAGTTGCGGGGGCATAAAAAAAACATGACTGAATGTACAGGGCCAAATAATCTCCATGGAAATGTGATGTGCCAATACTAATACAACTGAATACCAAATATCATTGGCCCATCACTAAAGGTTCCCCTTAAACTGACAAACATTTTTGGGGCCCTTTATAGATTGCTGTTCGGTGTGAGCCAAGGCTCTGTTTTAAAGACCATACTTTGACCTATAATGGTTTACTTTTACAAATTGTGACTTTGATGGAGATTTGTCTCATTGGCACTCATACCACATCTTCTTACATCTAATCACAAACTTATATGCTAAGTGACTTTAGTATTTCATTGTCCGTATCATTTCATGGTATGTATAAAACTTTCTTCTTTTTTTTTACATTCCTTTTGTTGTGTGATATCTAATAAATTTTGTATATATATATATATATATATATATATATATATAAGTCTAGAGATTTGCACAACGATACTAATATAAGATGGTATTATACGAAGATGTTGTTAATAAATAGATTCCGAAATATATATATATATTCATTATATCTCAATTTCCCTTAAAATGACCTAATCACAAACTTATACATTGTTGAAACAGCACCCCTAGATCTAGCTTTTTCAAGGCAAGACAAAAATAATGAAAAAGAGAAGACAAAATTTCGTTCTTTCTGTTTCTTAATTTTTCAATGTCTGTGTTGTTTTTACTGGTACTGTCTTGTCTATCCTTTTCATAAAAAATTTGCAAATTTCAAAACTTCACATTAGGTCAAGATTTATTGATTAATGGTTAAAAATTTACATTACTGATGGTTGATGAATATGGTGATATCTTAGTGTTAGATTAAGAGTCAATAACCAATCTGCTAGTTGCCTGATGCCTAATGACTTAGTATAACTTGGAAAAGATATTTTTTTGGAATAACACGATAGGTTTCACATGTGGAGCAGGATTAGCTAACCCTTCTGCATTATCTGAGATCACCAAGATTTTTAGTGCCGTTGTGGTGCTCAGTCTTTAGTTTTCTACATTGTGTATGCAGTTGCTTGTCTTTTAGTCGGTCTTTTTTTTGTTTTATGGCGTTTGTCAGTTTGTAAATCGACCTTTGAGTTTGAATATATCCCATTGGTATCTTCTACCCCTCTCGATTATTAAAATCTACTATTCAAATATCATTTAATTGCATCAACATGATAATCCATGATGAAGGTTTCATATATTGATAAATAAAAAAAAACTTTAAACAAAGACTAAACTTTAAATATAGCGGACTATACATTATGGAATTTTCTCATTGTTAAAGGCTCTATGGTTGCCCATTATTGCTTACATCCACTTTCTTTGAACTTTGGTAGATAGTTGTCTTATTGGCAATATCATACCTCATCTCCTCATTTTAATATTTCTATTATCACCAGTTTAATTCGCCCTTTCGGAATCTAAATAAATGCATTCTGTTCTGGGTAATATTTTCGAAAGCGTGCACCAAAACGTTGTGATTGGTTTAAAAAGTTCTAAACAATAGAAATTCAACCAATGAGGTAATGTTATTTTCATTTTGGTGTACGAACAATTAGATTACCCATAATCCTTTAGATTCTGAAAAAGGCGAATTATTTCTTAATTATTCTTCCTTTGTTTAATTTGTACAATATACAAATAAGATATTAATGTATTTACTTACATGTTCAGCTATCAACAAAAAAGGCTTCCTTTTAAAGTCTGACTTGAATAGTGAAGGTGTAGCCTAGATCTGTTTTACTATGAAGCTGTAAATTAAAAAAAAAATAACATCATTATGTCAATATGTGCTTAGGAACAGGATCAAACAAAGCAATAACGAGAAGAAAGGCATACATACATCTGGAAGTCTTAAAAGATTTTTTTTAGATCTCAATCCTTTGAGCCATCTATTTAAATCTGGGTCAATGAATTCAGAAATACTCAAATAGTTCATAAAATGAAAATAAGCCAAGAAAATGTTTTACTAAGGGCTATCAAAAAGTATAGTATACAGTTTTTATAAACAAAATGAAATTCTAGATATTCCTCAAGGTTCTGAGCATCAGTTTCAGATTACTGTTCAATTTTTATGTCAAAATCTTTTAAGCTATTGTTGCTGTCAACATGGTCAAATCTACAATTACCGGACCCTCATAACTTTATATTTTAATTTGAATGAGCTGTCAATAAGACAATATATGAATTACTGAAACTCTAATATTCAATTATTATAATATAATTGACAATATATTATTATCTACTAGAAAAGTAATGTTTGATGAGATTATAATCTTAATTTCAGGCATGCAAGTATAGAAATAACCTGCAGTATGAAGGATTTAATCAATATTTGGTTATGTTTTGTAACATCATTTTTGAACAATAAAGCCAAAAAATGTATACACTTATTTGCTGTCTCCTGGCAGAAAGATAGGGTAGATAGATAAAATAATTGTATTTTTTATTTTTATTTTATCTAAATTATAAATATACTATATACAACATGTTCTGAACTTAAATGGTGCTTTACCAAACAAATTTTGACTTTTACCAGTACTTTACAAAAAAAAAAGCCAGAAAATACATAAGTAAATCTAAAGGGAGACAAAAAAAAAGAACTTTATCATATTCTGACCTAAACATCAAACTTTATTTTAGTATACTTGAATAGGAAACATTTCTTGTTTTACTATTAAATTACCTTCAGCTTAATAACTTGATTACAACCAAAATACTACAAACTTCTGTAGCCAAATGTGATTCTCTGAAGCACTGCTAAAGTATCATGTCCTTTATCCATCTTATATACATGTATATACATGACAGTATATATTTGCCTCAAGTTCAGATTTTTTCTGGAAAAATAAATATTCAAATAAATGTACATGAACATGAACTTTAGTCCACATATTATGCCTCCATCTACTGACTGACAAACAAATGTCACATAATCATCTTTAGTAATGTTAATAATATGAACAGTATATACATGTAACATGTTATCATTAAAGATTAACATCATTGCATTGGGATTTTATGCTGAGTGACTTAAATATTTCTTTGTGTGTATGTATAAAACTTTCTTTTTTTCTTTCTTTATTTTACATTCCTTTTGTTGTGTGATATTTAATTAATTTTGTATATATATATATTTATTATATCTCGATTATATGGGGCCAACTTGGACGAGTAGTCTAAGTAGTCGAACTTCTGTATCACCAGCCAGCAGCCAGTCAACACTAAGGTTGTGAGTTCAAATCCTGCACGTGGCAAGTGAACTTAACTCCAATCTTAATTGACTAGGATTGTCAGTTTTCCTACCAAAGGTCATGGTTCTCTCCAGCCTCCTCCATCAATAAAAACTGGATACCACAAAATAGCACCATAGTATTAAAAGTGGCGCTAAACATTAATCATTCAATATCTCAATTATGAGAAAATAAAGACATCAATGAATCAATAAATGTCCATTAGTTTTGTTTTTTTTATTATTAGCATTAACAGTAGTTTTTTTGGTATAATGATTCCAATTATGCAATCTAATTGTACAGTGTGTTAAAAATTTAATAAAAAGCTGCAATAGGACTGCACGATTACAAGCCCTCCAAATTCATATCAAATTTGTTTAAAGTATAAAATGAAATGTTGTAGAATCAGACATGATTTTATAAGTCATTTTTTATTTTTATTTTTTTAAAGGTAACAATGACAAATGAATGAGTTGCATCTGATGTCATGCCAAGTAGTCATATTATATTGGGATGGTTGTAATTTCCTCAGAATTTCTTTAGAAACATACATGTTGTACTTCATTAAGTAAAATAAATTTTTATATTACGGGTGGTTGGTGTTAAAAAAGACCCTGTTAGATAATTCCTGAATAGCTCCAAGATATATCTATTGTTCATGTTGTTTAGTCACTTCTTAGGTACATTTGTATATGTACCGTATATATAGTTACACATTTAAATGATTATTCGATTCTTATCACCTTTTACATTTGACTTATCAATTTTTGTATGCATTACATAAGGTCCTTCAGTTGTCCAGTGGCAAATATTTAATGCTAACATTCAGAACATTTTGTTCTGCAAAGTTACTTAAATATCATATGTAGCATTAATGTACAACAAATTATATCTATTCTTCCTCTGCACATATGCTGCAAATTGCAAGCCAAAAGGCATGTTGTTCTTTTTAAAGCACACTGTTTTGTTAAATGCGTTACATTTCATAGAATGGAAATAGTGCATACATATCTGTTAGAACTTTGCTGAATTGTCCTGGTAACGTTGAACTGGACATCTCTCCCTGTCATTTTCTTTCTCATGTCTGGAATTTTCAAACAGATCCTCCATACTTCGTTCATGCCCTGCTTATTATCTGTCATATAGAAAAAAGAAATGCATAAATTTTAAGTATTTTTTTTACACATACAGTTATTGTCATAGTCTGTCAAACTTTAAATTGGGAACATTACAGTGAACTACCAAAATTGTGTGGTAAATATTAATAAGTGGAACAATGAAAGGTAATTGCCTGATAATTAACTCAAGTGTCATTCTATGATCATGAACAATCTTGACATATATTTAACTGGTGAAATAAAATGAGTTATGTGGTGTATGTCTATGAGACATGTGAAGTTTATATACCACTCCAGACAGATAAGTGTAAGTGATCAATACATGCAGGTCCTCAGTACCTGCAGCTGAATGTGAAAAAGCCCCTATTTATTTATTGAAGTCTTGTAAAAATCAAAACCCATATATATTTATGTCTAAGGATGTTCGTTCCTCATGTTTTTGAGTTTTTGCCAGATATTCTGACATTAAAAAAAATCCCAATAATCTCTACTTTTCTTTTCATAATTTTATTTTGAATAGATATATAAATATAAAATAATTTATCTATAAATACTAACTTTAGTTCTCTTTTATACTGGTGAAGTAAATCAGAGACATTATATATGATGTCTCTGAGTCAGTCTGAGTAAAATTGAGAATGGAAATGGGGAATATGTCAAAGAGACAACAACCCAACAAAGAGCAGATAACAGCCGAAGGCCATCAATGGGTCTTTAACGAAGCAAGAAAATCCCGCACCCCGAGGTGGGCCTCAGCTGGCCCCTCCATAATAATGTGTACTAATTGAGTAATTCAGTGAAAATGGACTTCACACTTAACTCAACAATGAGTAAAACCTATACTGCATAGACAGCTATAAAAGGCTACTAAATGACAAATGTAAAATAATTCAAATTTGATTGTCTCTGCTCGTGAATATTATGTACCGGGTACATGTATCCGAGATTACCAAAGAATGGTCTTAGGCAGATATCCTGAAATGACTAAAAGGTTAAAGATATAAATAAAGGCTATATATTAGCTTGTCCATGCAGCCTCATTATCTAAGCAGACAAAGAGAACTTGTATTATTGTTTTTTTCCCTTCAATCTGACCGTCACAAAATTTTCTTCAGTATTACTGTAAACTTTGTATCAGGCATGCGTTGAGTTTTGTCATTCTTCAGCGTTACTGTAAACTTTGTATTGAGTCTTGTCATTGAACATATATATTTAAATATATAAATGTGTAAGCAGTTTCTTATTTCATTGGGTATGGTAATATATCTTGGATTCAACCTTCAAAACTTCAATTTTCATCCTCATTTGCTTTTTCATCACTTCTTCCTTCAAATCCCATAAATGTAGTTTTTATTGTCGAGCCTGCGACTTTAGTCGCTGAAAGCTCGACATAGGGATAGTGATCCTGCTGTGGTGGCGGCAGCGTTAACTAACTTCTTAAAAGCTTTATATTTTAGAAAGTGGAAGACCTGGATGCTTCATAAATTGTATATAGATGCCTTATGTTACGAAGTTTCCGTCTGTCACATGTCCATTGTCCTTGACCTCATTTTCATGGTTCAGTGACTACTTGAAAAAAATGTTAAGATTTTTTGTAATGTTAATTTCTCTCTTATTATGAGTAATATGATAACTATATTTGGTATGTGCGTACCTTGCAAGGTCCTCATGTCCCTCAGACAGTTTTCACTTGACCTCGACCTCATTTCATGGATCAGTGAACAAGGTTAAGTTTTGGTGGTCAAGTCCATATCTCAGATACTATAAGCAATAGGTCTAGTATATTTGGTGTATGGAATGATTGTAAGGTGTACATGTCCAACTGGCAGGTGTCATCTGACCTTGACCTCATTTTCATGGTTCAGTGGTCAAAATTAAATTTTTGAGTTTTGGTCTTTTTTTCTAATACTATATGCAATAGGTCAACTATATTTGGTGTGTGGAAATATTTTATTATGTACATATCAGTCTTGAGGTTTTATTTGACCTTGACCTCATTTTCACGGTTCATTGTTCAGTGTTAAGTTTTTGTGTTTTGGTCCGTTCTTTAACTATAAGCAATAGGTCAACTATATTTGTTGTATGGAAGGATTGTAAGCTGTACATATCTGCCTGGCATGGTTCATCTGACCATGACCAATTTCATGGTTCATTGGTCAATGTTTAGTTTTCTTGGTTAAGTCTGATTTTTAGAAACTGTTAGCAATAGGTTAACTATATTTAGTGTATTGAATGATTGTAAGGTGTTACAAATGTACATACTATAAGTATTTCTCGTTTGGTTTATATGGCCTTGACCTCATTTTCTTGGATCATGTTAAGTTTATGTGATAGTTGTAGTTCAGCTTTATATATATAGGACTATCAACATAATATCAATGGTTAGTAAAGAAGGCGAGACATTTCAGGGTGTGCACTCTTGTTTTTATAATATACATGATATATTTATACAGTCGCAAATTTAAGTTAATGGATCTTTATGACACCACAAGGTTCCATACCTCAAAAGGAAGGTTGGATTGATTTTGGGGGTTATGGCCTTAACCATGTTAACAGTTTAGGCATTAGGGGCCAAAAATAACACTTTGTTTATTCTTTGTACATGCATATATGTATAAACTGTTTTTTTCTTGACCAATTTCAATTGTGTTTAATTCAAAGTCTTTAATTTATTTTTTCAAACCTTGTTACTTGTATATAGATTTGGCCTCCTTTTTAAAATAGGTCCACATTGAGGTCCCTAGGGTACAAATTTAAACTTTGTCGTTTGAAGACATATAAAATTTAATAATTTATTGGTTCTATTATATGAGATATCTAACTGTTAAGTTAAAATTTTAATTTTGAGCCCTGTTTTTAAATTGGTCCCCATTAAGAAGCAAAGGGTCCAAAAGTAAACTTTGTTTGATTTCAACAAAAATTGAATTTTTTGGGTTCTTTGATATGCTGAATCTAATCGTTTAGTTAGATTTCTGATTTTGGGCCCCATTTTCAAATTGGTCTATATACCTCTGTGGTCAGTCATATCAAGCTGAGCCTTGCATTTTATTTTCAAATTGGTTAACTTATACTCATGTTAGAATTAAATAATTCTGTATGTATAAAATCTAGAATGGAAATAGGGAATGTGTCAAAGAGACAACAACCCGACCATAGAGCAGACAACAGCCGAAGGCCACCAATGGGTCTTCAATGCAGCGGGAAACTCCCGCACCCGGAGGCGTCCTTCAGCTGGCCCCTAAACAAATATGTATACTAGTTCAGTGATAATGGACGTCATACTAAACTCCAAATTATACACAAGAAACTAAAATTAAAAATGATACAAGACTAACAAAGGCCAGAGGCTCCTGACTTGGGACAGGCGCAAAATTTATGCATACTCAATTTAATATAATATTATTATCCTATTGTATACAGATGTAAAACTTGTGTCTGATCCTATTTTTAAAAGTCAATTGTGTTCGAATAAAATAATCATAAACTAAAACATTCATATGATGTAGTTTTGCATCTTCGATTTAGAGCATGTTCAGTACCAGTAGAATTCAACGACAAAATTAATAAGCTATTATTATAATTTCTTTGTTCTTACTACTTTTCTTATGTTTGCAGGGAAAATTGACAGAGTGATACATCTTCTATGAATAAAAAGAGGAAATAAGTGTCTGCAGCAGTAAATCATTATAACAACAAGACTGTGAAAAGAAGATATCAGAACATGAAATGAGTTTTATTTCTTTAAAAAAGAATTGTTACGGAATATACCTCTTGTGATTCTAATGAAAACCATTGTCAACTTGAAGTAAAGGAAGATTTTATAATTTAATAGAACAGGAAATAAAGGAAGACTCATTTAGAGCATAACAAAGCACAATGTATATTTCTAATTAGTCTGTTAATTCAGAATAACCCATGTGAAGGAATTATATTTTACAGTAAACAACATACAATACACTTTCAACTTCAATTTTTGCAATTGGTGAATTTTTATGTTGTACTAAGGTAAAATTTATATGACAGATGCATTACCTTAAATATTCACTGAACACATGAAAATCCAACATAGCCATTGCAAAAATAACTTGCACTTACATGTACATATGTTATTCATGTGATATTAATATGAAATTCACATCACGATCATGTGAAAATATAGACGTGAAATAACACAACTTTTACACGTTAAAATAATGTGAAAAAATCTAAATGTTAAATTAACACAATATTTACATGTTAAAATCACGTTTAAAAATTTACGTGTGAAATTAACACAATATTTACACGTTAATATCACGTTAAAAAATTTACATGTGAACATAACGTTACGTTTAAACGTGAATATCACGTGAGCAGATTAAAACGTGATTATCACATGAGAATCTTGTGTGTGTCAAATACAGGTGATATAAACGTTTAAACGGTGTGATACACACATGGAAATAACGTAGTTTTCACGTAATGAGCACAAACGTTAAACACACGTTGAAAAAAATTGCCTGTGTAGCAATACATTTTTTACCAATTTTATCAGAGTATTCGAGTACTTGAGTATTGATTTCATAAACGAGCGACATCGCTAGTATTCATACATCCTTGCCTTACACATATTTTGTTTGGACTTTCCTGATGAAGGTAAATTAAAAAATTTGACGCACAAAATTGATATAGTTTTTGTTTATATTTTCGTGTTATGGTGTAATACCACCATTGTTTTCCTCCTATTAGTCTTTGTTAAATTTGCACTTTTCAAAAAATATCTTTGTTTCAAATAAAGAAATACTTGGCATAAGTAAAGTTTTATCCTGTCCAGTACTACAGACAAAATTTTACATAACATTTCATTGCATGTAAGACAATAACCATCACTGGAAGTTAAACAATCAAATTTCCACCCCTTTCTGTCCTGTTTACAGGCTTTAGTAACCATGTAACCTCAAGTTTCCAAAATATTTTTTAGAAACACCAAATAAAAAAAGAATGGTGCTTTGAAACATCGAAGATATATGTTTATGACTATGTAACCTCAAGTTTCCAAAATATTTTTTAGAAACACCAAATAAAAAAGAATGATGCTTTGAAACATCGAAGATATATGTTTATGACTCTGAAATGTTTTACTGCATTGAAAAGTAGGATTAATTTCCTACAACTGTCAAATTCAAGGGAATATTTTTTTTTCGACCCTTTTTCGTATGAAACCGATGTGACGTACTATGAAATGGTGGTATTACACCTGATTAATATCAAATCAAAATACCACAGATTTCGTAATGAAATTCATTTTAATTTATGTGTTATCCACGTAATACTGAATGATTTAATTACTAGTCAAACGAAGAAGAAAACACAAATTGATTATACCATTATTGCCTACAATTCTTACCTGCCAAATATAAGACTTTACAAGAATGTCATAATAATGTAAGTCTTGATAACGGAATTTGACTGTGACGTCATTGAAATGGAATATTGACGATTTGCCAAATTTTTGGAAAAAATAATGATTTTGGCTAAATTAGTTTAGAGTTCAAGTGTTGACCATAATGATTTCTCTTTGACAGTTAATATGCACAAATATACTTCCTGCATGAATATCTCTTTGGGCGGGAGAGAGGTCTGTGTTTTAAACTAGTTCGTAGTATGTGTTAGTAGAATGTATGAGTTTTTTTCTGAAAATGCACCATTTAACTAAATCGCAAATATTTATACGGTTTTAATTGTAAAAAGTTCCTTATTGAATCTAATAATTTATTGATGTATCTATCTTTTTATTTATTCAATAATTCATTCATATATTTCTTCATTTATGTGTTCATTCATTTATAAATATTCATTAATTAATTTATGAATTAATACATTTATTAAATAAGAATTTTATAAATCAATTATATTATGTGTTATAAGTTTATTGAAATCATTTGAAAATCACTTCTTAATAATGATTTTCGTTGACATATTATCAAGTTTTAACTGTTGACCGCGTTAATTTCAAGCTGAATATTTTCCCTTTCCAAATGTTTTGTCCAATTTAACGAGTTGTCTTTTTGCTTTAATTTTTATTCCGTTTGGTACATTGGCACTGCAATTAAATTTAATCCATTTATATTTTCCTTGTGTTATCCTATAGCTCCTCCCAGTAATTTCCAATTGTTCAATTTCAAAATCTAAATCTATTTCTTGCTTTTGCCAATAAAGGGATAAGAGAATGGGGTTAAAATTGTTGTCATCTTTATGCCTTGGTCGAATACTCTGCAATGCATCTTTCTCGCATTTCTTAACAACGTTGACTTTTGTATTCAAACTGTATTTGTTAGCCATATCAGAGAGAATAATGGTATCTAATGCTTTCTGGAGACGTTTTGCTTCTTCTTGTATATCTTTATCTGGAATATTCTGATAAGCCTTAAGGAATCCATATGATCTCGCCTTCGGAATAAAAGTATTGCCTTCTGTTGACAGCTGATCACCTAATTCTTTAAGTTGTGCTTTGATCATTTCTGTCTTCAGTTGCTTAATAAATGGGGACATTACTTCTGCATCATATCTGACATTGTGTAACGCATTTATTTCATCCTCATCTGTTATGTCCTGGAACTTTGTATCCTTTCCATATTTCCTTTCAATATCTGATATTATCGATTCCACTATTCCATCAACCCTTGTTCGCCTTCTTTGCGGAGCAGTTTCATCTATATAGTAGTTGATTTCATCTTCAACTCTTTCCTGATATTTAGTTAATAATTTATTCTCTTCCAAGGTTCTTAAAGAATACAAAATATATTGGTTAGAACTCTATCGGGTAAATTTCACCTTATATTGATTTGTATTCTCTTTTTATGTTTCTGTTGGTCATATAGCTTTACGCGTTGTTACATTCAAGTAAATTCTTGGCCTTTTCTTTTTTGGGGTTGAGCGTTACTGATGAAGGTTAATCCAGAGAAGCACTTCGAACGGCCCCAGTTTTAGAGGTGTTATTTTCATTTTGTAACTAATCAGCACCAACCACCACGATAACTCTTGGTTATACTGAATACTTACAAAACATGAATCTAAGTGACAACATTTCATATACAATATGTACACGAAAATATTTGTCCTTATTTTCTCTGATAAATGATTCAGATTACTGAAGAATTGTAGCAAACAAATCATTCGTTCAAAGAAAATCTGATATACGTTTTCCATAACGAGAATTAACTGTAGATGTTTAAAAATGTAAATGAACAAAGACGACATGCACACGTAATGCTTACATATAATTAAAGGACTGTGATATTAATAGTAAAGATAACTGATTTGTCATCTCATACTTTGATTTCTCTTCGTTGTTCGAACGGCAGCGGTATTAGACAATTCAAATACTTAACATGATATTAAAAGAATTACAAAATAAAATGTATTGCCTTTTCTGATTATGATAAACTGTAGGTATTAAGGCTGTGACGTCATTACTAGCGTATTCGATCATCTCAGCTGTTAATGGTCTCCTAGCCCATAGCTCTCCATCTTCCTTCGTCCATTTTACCTAGAATATAATGATAAAGCTTTCAAAAACCCTATTTCACACATAATTTACTGCGCCAGATGTTTATTTCGACACTAACTGTCTCATCAGTGTTGCTCAAAGCCAAATTATTCAAACTTCCAAACTCTGATACAAACGTTGGTGAGCTTATGTGACCAAAAGTATTGCCACACCTAGTCAACTAATCAGACTTATACATGAGTTGGATACAATCCTTAATTTAAAATCTTTTCCCATTTTTTAAATAAAACAGTACCAGTTTATGGCGTCAAGCAGGCTTGTTAACAGGTTCTTTGTATGTTGTGGTTCCTTTAATGTACTAGTCGCAAATGTAAACATCCCGATAAGATCTTTCGCAGACACACCCAGAGTTCGACTAAAATAAGATTGCTTCGACAAACTACTTTCAACAGCGTTTTGCTGATAATTTGTTTTTCTATCACTCACTACTTCATATGATTTTCAATCGTATGACGGCTTGTGTTCAAATACATGTCACAGGATCATATCGAAATTAGGTTCAACGTCTTTATTTTAAACGATTCCTTCATTTCATGACAATGGCAGGACTACATGATAAAAGGTACTTTTTCAAAAGCACTCACGTCGAACTAGAAAATTCTTAGTTTTACATTTGTATTTTGCCGATGAAGCATGAGTTAGATAGACGTAACCACCAATAACAAATCACGCAGCTATTGGTAGCTGTCAATTTGCTCAATGCCTAAAGCCGTTTAACTTATTTTGAATGCAGTGGATAGTTGTCCCATTCGCAACTATGCTTCATCTCCTTATTTTAATATTGTATAAGTATTTTAATTTATAATAAAGTACCCTTAATGAGACATTAACAGTATTTTTTTGTCGAACAATACCTTATTATGTTATTACCATGTACGTGAAATTATATACGAAGATTAAAATCTGCACACAAAAATAGTTCTATATCTGTTGTCTCCTATTTGTTTTCTTCTTGTCAGTCTTTTTTTCTTTTCTTTTTTTTTTATTTAATTCATGCATACAAACCTTTAATTCGTCTTTCTGATCTAGTGGTTTCGCTTTGTCGTTGTACATTTGACATACATCGCTTAATTTCATAGAAGGGGGCAATTTCCGTCCTTTGTTTTCCTCGATCACAAGATGAGCTACCTGAAATATCAATGAATCAATTACATATTCCTAGAATTTACTGTCTTGTCTTCTGTTGCCTATTTTTATGAAAAACATACGAAAGTTAAAAGGCAAAACGCGGTAATACGCAGTAAAATAATAATTTAATCTAAAAACATTATCCATAAACGTATGAAAAGAATTTTTAGTCACCAAATAAGTGTTTTAAATATCACATTGGCGTGTTTATGATTATGCCAACTGCCGTGCGTAGTGAATAAGTTTAACAAAAATACCGAATTCTAAGGAAAATCCAAAAGGGAAAGTCCATAAAAACTGACAACATCAAACGCTTTCAATCACAACGGATGTGAAAAACAACTGCTTATTATATTCCTTCCCTGAAGTACCTGGTTTAATAGCTAGCTATACCTCCTACTCATATGACAGTTATTTATAATTCTGTTTTATTGACCAAATTTGGTGAGCAACCCAATTAGACATACTAGCTTAATGTGAAAATAATTGGGATCCAGCTGTCAAAACTGTATAAACATACATCACAGACATACAACACAACTGAATGTTTTATGTTTCGTTCGGACATGTTTACAAATGATTCACACTCTATCAAATTGACCGCATCGGAGGTTTCGTGGTAGTCTGCTTATCTCGAAGATTACATGTAACGTCGCTGCCAATAAACACCTAGATTATTTGTTTAATCTCAGACGAAGTTCAGAATATTTTCCATTTATTCAGGACAAAATATACATTTTCTGTAATAAAATAATACTTTTCTTCTGTACTTAAATATTGCAAGGGCTTCGGTGATCAAATGGTCAAAGTAGTTCATTTACAGTGATAACGCACTACCCTGTCAATATTGGAGTTGTTAGTTCTAACCCTGCTCTAAGACAGAATCGTTCGAATCCAATCTTGATTGACTAGGATTGCCAGTTTTCCTCCCTAATGTCGTTAGTTCTCTCCGATTACTGTGACTTCCTCAATTAATAAAGACTTGCCGTCATAAGCATATAGAATTGCATTCAGAACCAATATTAAATCGATCATTTTTATTTTTTTTTCAAAACATGATATTTATATTTGAAAACTCCAGGACCTCCATTCGGAATCAAAAGACCGTCCGTTTTTTTTTTACCAGTGATATTATTATTTATTTTTACTATTTTTGCCACTCGACTTTCTTAACTCGCAACTCGACTTTTCGTAACTTGCAACTCAATTTTTGTTACTTGCAAGTGGATTTTTGTAACTCGCATCTCGAATTTTGTAACTCGACACTCGACTCGATACTCGACAGTTAGTAATACTCTTCGTCTCTATTGTGGGAGGTCGTGAATTCGAACTCTTACCGGGTAAAAACAAAAGACTTGAAAATCGGTATATGTTGTTTCTCATCTAAGCACTCTTAAGGGGTAAAAGAAAAGACTGATAATTGTAATGATCATAAAATAAAACATAGAATAATGTATCCGGGTGAAGGTTGATATTTCGTCCTGCAAACGTTCATATTAAACCTGTTTTCGCCCTGAAAATGCATGTCATGTTGACCGCTAGCATAGATAAATAATCAATCCATCCTGCTACATATAGTTTGTTTATACATGCCTGTGTGTCAAACACATTGTTTAGCTTGATGTCAAACTGGTGATATAGTGCAGCACTGTCACCTGCGCATGAGTGTATAACCTAAATAAAGAAGAATGCTACAATTATTTATTATCCTGAAAGAGGTTTTAGAAAATCATTATTGAGATAGCAATTTAACATGATATTTAAACCAGAAATAAACATTTGATGAAAAACAAACTGTTTTAAGCGGGTAGGATGTAACTTTATATCGTTATACCCTCACTTAAACATTAGTGACACACAAATAACTTCATAAACGGTTGTGTGAATTTGCTTGTATTTTTATGCGTGCTTGGTCTGAAAAGAATCAAACACTTTAAAATTACTATATACAAATTATTCCAAACTTTTTGGGACGATTTCAATTGCCTCAAATCCAAAATTTAGTGTGCTAATTTCTTTTCTTATTCATTTAAATCTTTTAAATGCTTTCAAAAAAAATGTTTTCTCGTAACTATGGATTGAAGTGTTCCAAACTTATTTTTCGTGTATATGTATATGCATTCTAATGATGAAGTTAACAACATCCTTTAGGGTTGAAAAACTGATGTTTTAATAAACAAACATCAATACTCCCCTCTGAAATTGACTGTATACCTATGTTTAGCTTAACATTATAAATCATATTTGATTCAAGGCGTTAAAACAAATTTTTATTATATAACGTGCAAATACACTTGAAATTTCACCGAAGAAATATATTTGTTGAACGTCTTTACTCTTTAAAAATCGTTCGATCGACAGATTAAAGTCTACCTATGACGTGTTCCTTTACAGTAACAGACATACAATAAAAGTTGACAGTTTGGCAAACATACTTTAATGAGAAAAATGTAAAAGAAAAAAGAAATACGGTTAGATTATTCTTTTACCTTTATTGGCTTGTCAGACTGTAAGATATCTTTCAGCTTCCCTTTTCTAAATAAATCTGTGTTTGTTTCAATATCAAAAAGATAAACTTTGTCGTCCATTGTTCCGATCTGTAACAGAGTCAAAGGACCATCTTTTCCCAAGTTGATGCCCTCAGCATCCAAAGCTATAAAGTCACACTTAGCTAAGTGTTCTACGATAGGCAAACACTTATCCGTTTCTGTAATTATCTCTACCTTTGGGTTAGAGGCCATGACTTAATTATAAAAGAAAGTATAAAAAAGACAATAAGGTGTTAACATACTGTCTATTTTAAAAAACGTTTAAGTTGTAACTCGCAGTAAGCCTATAATGAGTTTATTATGTCTAACAGCAATTTCTTTAATAGAGAAAATGTCATCAGATAAAACGAAAAATACAACCATTGACCATTGTTGATCTTCTATGTACTATTTGTCTGGTCGATCATATACAAGTTAGGGTTCATAACTGATTTTTAACTTTATGCGATCTTGTAAAAGTAAAACAAAACTAGTTTTACCACGCGTCGTCCTTTTAATAATAAGCTCCCTTATTTGGGGAGGAAAGGGGGGGGGGGGGGGGGGTATTTTTTTTTTTTTTTTTTTAATTCCAAATTTTTCGATAAATAGTGAAAAGTAAAATAACATAAATACCAAACTTCAAGGATAATTCAAAACGGAAAGTCATTAATCAAATGGCAAAATCAAAAAATTGTTTACATTTTTTTTTTAATTTTTTGTGTTTATGTTGGTATGACGACGGTACCTTTAGATATTACTTGGTAATGCCCCGTATTTATCAGCAATGTGATGTCAGTGTAGGCGATTTTAAAAAAAAAAATTGCGATGACGACTATTAGATGTTCGACGTTGATCACACTTGTTCTTCTGCGTAAGGCAAACTAAAAATAAGAATGTTTTGGTTTTGATATCAATATACAAAAACATGATATATAACATATTATTACAATTTATCAATATTTTGTATACAGTAATTTCTATAATATATGTAAAAACAAAAACTAACCTCACCTTTTCAGATAATCACAAGTATTGGACTGCAATAATTAGATAACAAAATATTCAATTATCAATATTGGCAAAATCTCAAGTTTTGAAACATACTATCTTTTGTCATACAGTTATCATAAATAATAGGATAGTAAATTAAGATAGAAATATTACATTTAACCTTCTGGAAACCGTGTAGTTTAAATCCTAAATATAGATCCACATCATTTAAAAAATATCTATGTTACTATCAAATATCAAAATTTATTCAAATATAAAGCCATTCTTTAAAAGTACATTTCTAATTCGTTTTTAAAACGTATCGAACGTCTACCTCATATCGAGACGCAATCATTTTTTTTCCGAACTATATGTATCAAATCAATGGCACAGTCATAACCGATTTATATGTTAATCACTGACTGCTGTATTTCTGTCATTTAAAGTATTAAAGAAAGATGTTTTCCAATAAATGTACAGTTTGACGACAAAGTCATGTATTTCTTTATTTATACAAGTAGTACGATATGGTTGCCAAGACCTGCTTTGATATCTTAAGAAGAGTAGATTTAATTTAAACCATTAATGTTATAATAGTTTTATCCGAAATATATTTTACAGTCTCTTACAATTCTTGATAGAATGGCAGTAGCATTTCGTCTTTGCTGATTGTTTGTTTTATCTTGAATATAGATAATACACTTTGTATACACTGTTTGTTTACGTATTGCAATTGTGAGTTTCAAATGAGATATTTAATCGCAATCTTAATACGTTGTAGGGGTTCGGATTGGGTGGATATAGTTGTCTCAATGACAACAATATCATATTTCCTTACTAGGATTTTTGTTTATATATGTATATAAATACCTTTCAAAGTGTACACATAATTTTGTATATTAAGTATCCTTTATTTCTATCATAAAACTGTTTGGGCGTATATTCCCTTAATTAATAATTTCATACTGAATCTGCAAAGAAGGATTTTGATACAAATACTTCATACCTCAATTATTCGTACATAACAACTGAATTTATAGAAATCGTTGGGTTTTTTAAGTTAGAACATGTAATCAAAAATTTAGATACAGAACAGTTACTCACCAGTCTTTAAAACTCTTGTTGTGAGAGGTATTGCATACATGTAACGTATTTCAATAAGGGACATCTACTTCAATCTTACCTAGTATTATTGTATCTATTTAATTTGATAAAGTAGTCTGCATGTTCTATTGTTGATCATAAGCTATGTGCTACCTTTTCCATAATCTGTCAATTGAATTCGTCACGCATTTAGAGTGATATTTGTCAAGTATATTCAAGTTATTACTTGTTTGTTATTTAAACATTTTCATCATTTGATTTTAAGTCTTACACTGAGCAGTACCCACTATGTAAATTGCATTCCATGCTTAACTTATAAAACTATATATATCGGAAACCAGAGTCGTCATTTGTTGCAAGTGTTAGTCCAAAGAGTCGGTGTAGACTCAATTCATTTCTTAATCCTGCGTATGGATATGTATTGTTTAAGTTTTATATATTTTCGCAACTGGTTTATTTGGTATTTACTTGCTTATAAACATGCATATTCTAGCCTATCCTTCATCGATACAACTCACATCTGATCAGTTCGACGATTGTCATCATAAGTGTTTGCTCATTCATGACTGAACTCGAGGAAAATCAACGTAAACACTCAGACACAGCTCGTGCAACAGGTCAATATTATATTTTCACCTGAAGACTCCTTATCGGTTTTTTAAAGGAACGTAAAATACGGCTTTGCACTACCAGAAAAAAATATTAATCAGAAATTGAGCAAGATTTGTCTTTGGGGTCAAAAAAACAAAAGTTTCACTTTTTAAATTTTTAAACAAATATATCAAAATTAGGATGAGAAGAAAAACACCTCAACACGACAACAACAAAATGAAAGGAAAAAGATAAGTACAATAATTATTCTTTTTTTTTTATATATTAGTCCACAAACCACATTATGAGTCGGGTACGCGAGGTTTAAATCCAACGGAGTACATAATAGGTCCTGTTTGAGCAGAACAATGATTGCATATTTATTAAGTCTCGTTTTGGGCATTATAACGACTGTAGATTATGTGTCCGGTTTAGACAGATTATAATAATAGAAAAACAAAGGATATGGGGTTTCAATCCATGACACAAAATCAGTACATGCACAGCAAAAAAAGTCCCGTTTGGCCAGAACAACTATTGTAGATTTTAAGTCACTTGTGGTTGAATTATGATACGTCCCGTATTGGTATAACAACGCATTTAGATTTTATGTTACGTTTAGACGAAATATTAAAAGTCCCATTTGGGCAAAACAATGTCTGAAGATTGGGTTTTATCGTTTGAGCACAATATAAAAAGTACCATTTGGGCCTACACGATTTATATATGAAGTCTCATTTGGCCATAATAACGATTGTAGATTATTTGCCCGGTTTGGACAGAACTACGATTGTAGATTTTATGTTCCTTGTGGTTGGATTATGATACGTCCCGTTTGAATATAACAGGGTACAACGGATGTAGATTTTATGATGCGTTTAGACGAAATATTAAAAATAATGTTTGGGCAAAACAATATCTGTAAATTGGATTTCTCGGTTGGGCACACTATTATAAGTACCGTTTGGGCCTACACGATAAGTCCAGCTTTGGCAAAGTTTTTATATTAAGACCCGTTGGGCATAATAACGATTGTTGAATATTTGTCTGGTGTCGACGGATTACAAGAAGTCCCATTTGGACAGAACAACGATTGTATATTTTATGTCCCGAAAAACTTGGAGGGCCTAATCTTGTACAGATTTAAAAAACAATATTTCTTTGAAATTAAGTTTGTTTAACTTTTTGACAAGTTCATATATCTTAAAATTGACTTAAATGTACCGAACGACAACTGTTATACAACCGGGAGCTCCATACAATATAACAGACTTGTTAGTCTTAGTTTGATTACTTCAATGATCAACTTACAAATGATTACCGTTAAAAGATATATCGACGAGACCGCAACCAAACGACACAAATAACTAGAAGAGATCTAGGGCAATATTGAAAAATATTAAGTGTCACCGAATTAAACAATGTGAAACTAATTACAGGAAATTTCAACTAATGCGGAAATAATTGTTTACATTTTCTTTTCATACATTGTACTTTCACCATTTTACAGCAATTGTAGGAAATACTTAAACTGTGACAATTTTTTGGTCCAAACAATTAAAACCACATGACAGAAAAACAATAAAAAATCACGAGAAAGTGTATAAAAATAAGTTAATGATACATTCTATGTTTTCTACATAAGGAAATGGCTCTATCAAGTAGGAATATGATAGTTATTTTCCATTCGTTTGATGTGTTTGAGCGTTTTATTTTTCCATTTGATAATGTAAAATCACAAAAATACTCAACTTCGAGGAAAATTCTAAAAGGAAAGTCCCTAATCAAATGGCAAAATCAAAAGCTCTAACACATCAAACGAATGGATAAAGGACATTCCGTTTTTGAATTTTTCGGTTCGGTGTTTTTGATATTTTACCTTCAAAATGTTTTAGTAGCTCTTAAAAGATCTAAAAGATTAGTTGAAGAACGCTTACTTGAGGCCGCGATTTTTTTCGGAATTTTTGTGTGTAGATTAGGTAACCACTACATGATACAGAAGATACAAATGTTCAGAAGAGTCCTTAAGTTAACGTTTGGAACACGAATGAAAAGGTAAAACTATTAAATTCTTAAAGAAACAGAAACAGTTTAATCGCCAATTGTCTCTACAAAAACCGACTAGAGGTTGATCGGTTGATTGATTAAGTTATTTGTGTTTAACGCCATATTGAGCTCTTGTAGCCATTCCATCCCGGCCATGTTTTATAAGTGGACGAAGCCGGTGAACATTGAGAGAACCACCGTCCATCGTCAATAAAACTGGCAATTTTATTTTATTGGGATCGGGATCGAACGCAACTTGCCACATCTGGCTAATGTTCAATGTAGATTAACTTCTTAGTACATTCAGTCACTGTGGCACCGAATCAGGCAGAGGTTCAGATCACAGCGGTAATCTAGCTCTCTGGATAACGGAAAGAATAAAGTTACCCAAGTACTGAGCGATTCCTGAAGTTTTATGATTGAAACCGAATTAAATAAAGAAAACAGCAGTATATCTATGTTCAACAGTCATACATTGATTAATCGAAATCAAATCCGGGTCGCATACCAAAACCGAAGGAAACACATCGACTGTTAGAACGAAAACGGAACAACAGAAACACTGAACTGCAACAACAAAAAATTGCCAACATACATAGATACGGACTATTTTATAACAATTGCCATATTCCTGACTTGGTACAGGCCATTTAAGAAAAAAATGGTGGGTTGAACCTGTTTTGTGGCTATGTGACAGGAATACAGTGCAAATAAACGCAAGAATAATCAGGACAGAGAAACACATAAATAAATAATAGTATAGTATATTACAACATTTAAACCACAAAATAACAACGGACACCTCCCATGAATCCAAGAACAGCACACCTGGACACCACAAACATGTAATAAACTGTGCGTCACATGAATGTATCAACGCCACATATAGTGACGTATTTTCGTTACGTTCATATTACCACAGGTAAAATTCTAAAAATAGAATAGATCTATTTTATTGTAGACACATACAAGAATATAAGTTTGAGTTTATTATGGTGTTTACAAAAATATATCCCACATTTTTCGTTTTATAAATATAAGTGAAAAAAAATTCTTTTCGTAATTTTAATGACTGATTTTCCAAATTTAGCATGTTTGTTTTTTAACCCGAAGTAATTAAGGAATGAAGGCTACAACTTAGGTGAAGCTGACATTGGATGAATATGTCTATTACTTTAGGTTAATTTTTGTCATATGTCCCTAAGCTTACGTATCCACGTATGTATAGTACATCCTTGCCTTTCAAAACAAATTTTTAACGTTACAAATAAAGGTAAATACCGTAAAGCAGCAAACATAACTAAGACTGGAAAATTGAATATCTAACTTGTCACAAAATGCAGATCACGCTGCTGAAGGGACATGGCTGGATAAATCCTACACAACATCGTAAAGTTTTGGCAAAGGAAAACGCACTTTTTGGACTAAAGTCCCCTGTTTATTGATTGATAATTGTTAATACTATTCCTTACAATTACTACCTGCAAAATATAGGACTTCATACGCATAGTACAATAATGTTAGTTTTGATTATGCTATTTTAGTGTGACGTTAATGAAGTGCATATCGACGATTTACCCAATCTTAGGAAAACAAGTACGACAATTTTGTTTTAATTAGTTTTGAGTTCAAGCGTTGACCAGAATAATTTCTGTTTGACAGTAGATAAACACAATCATACTTTCTGTGTAAATATATTTTAGGTAGATGCTAGGGTTTTCTCTATTACACATCTAACAAGCGTTAGTAGAATGTTCATGATATTGTACACTAAATATACTTTATCTATGCAAATGTCATTTATTTATTTATTTATTGATTGATTGATTGATTGATTGATTGATTGATTGATTGATTGATTGATTGATTGATTTATTTATTTATTTATTTATTTATTTATTTATTTATTTATTTATTTATTCATTCATTCATTCATTTGTTCATTCATTCATCCAGTCAGTCAGTCAGTCAGTCAGTCATTTATCTATCTATTCGTTTATTCATTCATTCATGTATTTAATAAATAATTCATGGAAACCATAGATTTGTTGGATATTTACACATGGCCTGTGCCGTGATATTCGATTTTTATCCTGAGCGTTAGCGTTATTTTTGTTATGATATATAATAGGAATAACGGTTCTGTAGTTTTTTTTTCAATTTCAATTTGGACACAACGAAATCGACATAGTGTTTGCACATAGGTTACGATACATGTGGATTTACATGGGAGGTAAATAGTAACAGCCATCAATGTGCACATCTCTGAGTCTGCGCTAAGTATAGATATATCGAGAATTTTATCACAGTGTTGTTTACAAAGCGAAAGAAGCACGTCATATTAGAATAATATATACAGTCCGCCAAAAGTTAAGCATCACCTAAATATAACTGGCAATATTTTTTTAACTTTTGCGAAAAAGATATTTATGTTTGGTGTTATGAATTGCCTATAACCTGCACCAAGAAAATTCATTACGACCAAAAAAAAACAAAATCCGATCAACACGCCAAGCAATTTTTTATTAAAGGTCATCTGCACTTTTTCGAATACATTGTTTCGATGCCTTTAAATCATCTTCCTACTGTCCCGCGTACAGGTGAAATGTGACCTTCACCAAGTCACTGTGAAATATGGCAAGGGGTAAGGTATATGTGACTGAACCTTGACAAGCAATTGACATGTCAAATGCCGGTAGGAGCACTAGTTGCATAGGTAACCATTTCAATGTTAAACATACCGTATTTGTCAGATTTTTACAACGTCATGTTGACACAGGAACTGTAAATGATAAACCAAGGTCCGGAAGACCCCGTTTAACTACCGATCTAAAGCCAACCCATTTACTCCTGCCCCACAACTTAGACACCACTGGTGTCAAGGTGGTCATGTTAGTGTTCGAACATTGGTCCGTCGACCTCATAGAGGCTACCTAAGAGCACGTCGTGTTGTCAAGAGACCTGCTTTAACAGCCAGGCACCGTATAATCAGGTTTCAAAGGGCTAGTGACCATCGACGCTGGAACATGAGAAGCTGGAAAAATGTTCATTGGGCAAATGAGTGTCAGTTTCTGTTACGACCAATAGACGGCAGAATACGAGTTTGCGGTGGAAATAAAACTGCTAATGACCAAAACAACATTTGCCCAACGACTGCATACGTTGCTGGTGGTGTAACAGAATGGGGTTTCTTCTAATACTGTTGTAAGGTGGGTATGCATATTCTGCAGGGTAACATGAACGGACAGACATACAGGGATTTGGTGCTAAAAACCATTGTAGTCCCTCATTTTGATAATCCTCCACTTACTTTAAAACCCTTGTACATGTACGACAATGCTAGACCACACAGGGCAAGGATTGTAACCGAGTACAAAGAGTACAAAGAGCAAGAAGCCATTGACACTATCTTTTGGCCTTCCCTGTCTCCAGACATGAACCCTATCGAACATGTCTAGGATGCTATTGGCAGAAATCTCAATCGCAGAGATCCACCTTTGCAAAATCTTAGCGATTTAATTAGAGCAATTGTTGCTGAATGGAATAAATTTGCTCAGCTAAAGTTCAGAAGGCTTGTACAGAGTATGAGACTCCGTGATATGGAACTGTACCGGAAGAGAGGGTGTTACACATCCTATTGACTCAAATATTGACATTAAATTTGCCGAACATACCAAAGATTATTTGTATAGACTTTTAATGGTATTGGGTGATTAATTGTTGTAAAAAAATTAAATCACAGTGAAACTTAAATTCCGTTTCTGATTTGCGTAATTTTCACTATTTCTATGAATGCAAATTTCAAATGCATAGAACCTGCATACGTGAACAAAATTAAGTCTACGGTTTGTTTATGGTATATATTAGAAAAATTGCTACATGAATATTTTCTCTTTTTCGAGGATTAACTGATTTTCATTAAATGAAAAAAATTTCGATGCAACAAAAATAGGTGGTACTTAACTTTAGGCGGATTGTATATTTATCTATTCATTCATTTATTTATTTATCTAATAAATTATTTATTTACTTTAAAATTACGATATGATATGACAAGTATTCGAAATATTTTGAGAGCTGGTATCTGCTACATGCGTTTATTAGAAAAACATATAGTACTAAATAATGATAAATTTTGCTTATCATTTATTATTATTTATAAAGCATTAATTGTGATTCAGCATTAATATCAAGCTGAAGAGTTCCCCTATCTAAACGTTTTGTCGTAATTATCGAGGTGTCTTTTTGCTTTCCTTTTTATTCTGTCTGGTACATTATCACTGCAATTATACTTTAACCATTTATATTTCCCTTGTGGTATATCATAGCTTCTCCCAGTGATTTGTAATTGTTCAATTTCAAAATCTATTTCTTTTTCTTGCTTTTGCCAATAAAGGGATAAGAGTATGGGGTTGATAGTTGAGTCATGTTGGCTTCTTGGTCGAATACTCCGCAATGCATCTTTCTCGTAAGGTGCAATAACATTGATGTTTGTAGTCAAACTGTATTTGTTTTTCATGTCAGCTACAACTATTGTATCTAATGCTTGCTGGAGACGTTTTGCTTCTGCTTGTATATCTCTTTCTGAAATATACTGATAAGCCCTGAGGAATCCATATGATTTTGCCTTCGGAATAAAATTATTGCCTTCTATAGACAGTTGATCACTTAATTCCTTCAGTCGTGCTTTGATTTCTTCTGTCTCTAGTTGCTTGATAAATGGGGACATAACTTCTGGATCATATCTTGCATGGTGCATCGCATTTATTTCATCCTCATCTGTTATGTCAAGGAACTTGGTATCTTTTCCATATTTTTTTCCATATCTTTTAAGACTGATTCCACTATTCCATCAACTCTTGATCTCTTTCTTTGTGACGTCGCTTCATCAATGTGGTAGTTGATTTCAGCTTCAACTCTTGTCTTATATTCAGGTATTAAATTTCTCTCTTCCAGGATTCTGTAAGAACATAACTATATTGATGTGAAATGCAAAGATTTGTCTCTTCTTTTTAGGTCGCTTTTGGTTATAAAGATTTTCACGTATTAACTAATTTATACATCCTGAGTTTTACTGTTGAGAATAAATTTAAAAAAGCGCTTCGGACGCACCAAATTTATAAAGTATTTTTTGAATTTTGTAACTGATTTGCATTAATTAGCTAGTTGTTCTATTTTCAAAAAAATGTAAGAACCAAATTCGTCGTTCAGAGATCACATTGTATTTTTTCCCGTCAAACGGAATTGCAAAATGATGCTCAAGTAGATAAATGAAGTTTATGACTTTCAGATGCAAACGCAATGCTTACATATAATTAAAGGACTTTGACACGAACAGTAAATATTACTGATTTATTATCCCTTAGTTTCATTTTTTTATCGTTTTCCAAACATATAGAATAGTGCAATTTTTGGTGAAAAGCGTTATAATCATAAAAATATTGGTTGGATTTCTATAGATTAAAAATAATATATCGAACAATAAAATTTGCATTATAATTTTAGTACACGATTGATTTAAACAAACAGGAACGCAGGCTTTTATCATTCAATCTTCTCTACATGTATTACGAAAAGGATTCACAAAAAAACAGTACAATATTTTGAATACAATTTGGACATATAATATTATCTTTGAAATAATCTCTTTTCTTTGCCAAAAACAAACAAAAGAAATCATTCATTCATTATTCATTCACTGTAAATGTAAGTTTAAAAAACAAAAACAAGGTTTACTTAGTAAAATAAAGCAATCATACATATGGGGATCAAATATTTGGATATTATTACATTACATAGATACAAGAAGATGTGGTATTAGTGCAAACGAGACAACTCTCCATCCAAGTCACAATTTGTAAAAGTCAACCATTATAGGTCTATGTACGGTCTTCAACACAGATCCTTTGCTCACACCGAACCGCAAGCTATAAAGGGCCCCAAAAATGACTAGTATAAAACCATTCAAACCGGAAAATCAATGATCTAATCTATATTAGAAACAAGAAACGAGAAATACTTATAAACCACATCAACAAACGACAACCACTGAACATCAGGTTCTTTGATGTATATTTCATAAGAATCCGTTCTTTTATTTGACTGACACTAATCGAGAGGCATTTTAAAACACGATTTTATTTCTCATTAAAATGCAACACTCGTGGCAGAACGTGTTATCAGTGAAAACGTATAAACAGCAATCTCACGGTTGAAGTAGTAAACATGTAATTATAAGAATCGAATGCTTCTTTTCGACATTTTATTGCCCGAAGCACTTTGATTCGGATGTTTATTTGGGAGTGGTCTTAAATCTGATTTCAACATGGATCTACAATTCATTGCACAAATTGAAATCCTGTGTTTACAATCAATTATCTAATTTTAAAGTAAGCTTTGATTTTTGTAGATGACTATTGAATAAAAAGTTATTATAAATAAAAATACACAAAACAATGTTTTACTTTTTCTGGTTATTATAAACTGTAGGTATTAAGGCTGTGACATCATTACTGGCGTATTCAATCATCTCATCTGTTAAAGGTCTCCTAGCCCATAACTCTCCATCTTCTTTCGTCCATTTAATCTAAAAATATAAAAAAACACGCCTTTGAAAACGTTATTTTATTTATGATTTAAACTGTGTAAGCTGAATGGCCAAGTACTAAATATTATGAATTCTTGTTTACCAATTTTACCCACACCGCATAGCAAGCTTTAAAAAATAAAATAACACATAAACCGAATTCAAAGGAAATTTCAAAACGGAAAATTCCTATACAAATGGCAAAATGAAACGCTCAAACACATCAAACAAACGCTAACCAACTGCCATATTCATGACTTGTTACTGGCATTTCCTTATGTAGACAATTTCTTATGTTCTTCTCATATATGTTATGATGGTATGATACTAAACCCCTAACGGGAAGGATTGTGCCTGATATTCATATGATGAAGACATACTCTTTCAATCAGTTTAATTGAAGTCTGGAGCTGGCGTGTCAGTTAACTGCTAGTAGTCTGTTGTTATTTATGTATTATTGTCATTTTGTTTATTTTCTTTGGTTACATCTTCTGACATCAGACTCGGACTTCTCTTGAACTGAATTTTAATGTGCGTATTGTTATGTGTTTACTTTTCTACATTAGCTAGAGGTATAGGGGGAGGGTTGAGATCTCATAAACATGTTTAACCCCGCCGCATTTTTGCGCCTGTCCCAAGTCAGGAGCCTCTAGCCTTTGTTAGTCTTGTATTATTTTTAATTTTAGTTTCTTGTGTACAATTTGGAGTTTAGTATGGCGTTCATTATCACTGAACTAGTATATATATTTGTTTAGGGGCCAGCTGAAGGACGCCTCCGGGTGCGGGAATTTCTCGCTGCATTGAAGACCTGTTGGTGACTTTCTGCTGTTGTCTGTTCTATGGTCGGGTTGTTGTCTCTTTGACACATTCCCCATTTTCATTCTCAATTTTATTAATTGTGGACTTAACCTGGTTTCATACCTAGCGAAAAATCGAACTTGTATTACAGCCACGTAAAATTCCATTATGTTGACAACAATGTGTAAGCAAAAAAAAAACAGACATAATAATTAGCAATATTTTCATATTAATCGCTATAAAGACAAACAAATATGTCAACGGCTTGTAGACGCTCTAAACACAAATAAAAGTGAGAATGGAAATGGAAATGGGGAATATGTCAAAGAGAAAACAACCCGACCAGAGAGCAGATAACAGCCGAAG